AGAGGCATTACTGCTCGGAAACTTGCTTCTGAGAACAGCAGGTTCTGTCCCCAAGCCCAGCCGGCTTGGGAGCCACGATGTTAGCTAAAGGCTTTTCCAGGTGGTTCCTGTGAAGCAAGGTTTGTTTGCTACAGCTGGTGTGCATAACTCAGTGCCCCTTTCAGAAGAGGGACGAACACAAAATAGAGATCGGATGTCGAAAGGGCACCAGCTCCGTGAGATCCCGCTGGCAGGGCAGGAGGAGGCAGCGTGCCCCGGTGCTGAGGGTCTGCTGCAGCAAGCGGGGGAAGTGGCATTAAAAAACAAACAAAAAAACCTCAAAGCAGTAGAGCTTAGCTTTCAGTTGGTGTCACCTTTATCTTCCATTGCCAGGTTGGACCCCGGGCTTCATGTTGTGCCTCTGCTGGGTGGCACAGTCGGTGAGGCCTGGCCCTGCTCACGCAGGTCTCTGTGGCAATTATCTTCCCTTAGCAGCTGCTGCCGGCGCTGCTTGGGCTGTCAGGCAGCACACGGGGATCTTCCTGGGGGTGCAGGACAAGAATCTCACTGGGGGAGGCTGAGGAAATGCGCAGCCGTGTGCTTCTCTGCAGGAGAGGAACAAGAACAGCTCTGAGCACTTGAGTCCCACACCTCTGCCGAGCAGCCGTGCCAGCACGGGGTGCAGCAGCAGGGCAGGGCGGTGCTCATCTGAGTCCTCTTCCTGCTCCCCCAGCTCTCCTAGAGATGAGTTAGGTGAGGTGGGAGCCGCTTTGTGCCAAGTTCATACCCCAGCATCTGTTACAATGGTGGTCCCACACGGATGGGTGGAAATACAGCACTGCTGCGAGGGTTGTGGAGCGCTGTGTAATTAAACACTTTTCCTTCCTGAGCATCTTTCTAAATCTGGTAGCAGGCTAGGTGCTGGGGCAGAGTGCAGGGGAGGATTGCTCTGAGGAAGTTTCCTCTCGTGGACTTTTTAAGCTGTGGTAGGAGGATGACTAACTGCGGGTACACCCAGATGTTTCCCTTTGGACACACCTAAACACAGGCTTTCCAAGAAGAGGATCATGCCACCTTCCAGTATGGGCGGAGAGAACGCTTTGGAGACAGGACTGCTGCATCGTAACACCCCTAACCCCATCCCTCGTGGTGCCTCAGTGAGGGATTTTAACAGAGTGCTGTCCTGGGGTGATCGCTGCTGCATTCCTGAATGAAGTTTTTCTTTTTCCTCCATCAGCAGATGTGTTACTTGTAGGCAGTAGAGCCTGTTGCCTGTTTTTACACTCAATTAAGTTGTAACTTCAGCGCTGAGGCCTCTGCCGTACGAGCTGCGAGTCAGGCAGCGATCCAGGCTGATTAATTATCAGCTTGATGCCTCTGGCAGAGGCCGTCGGTGCTGTTGTAGAGCACAGTCAGGGTTCTGCTGCTGCATCGTGATGAGAGGAGTCCGGGGGTCGCCTCTGTGCCGCTCCCTGTGCAGTGGCAGGGCCGGCCTTGGCTGCTGGGGTTGCCACATGCGGGTGGGGGTCCGGAACAGATTGTCTGCAGCGCGTCTTGGACATAAGCCTCTGCAGAAATACAGCAACTTGTAATATTGTGCTTCTTTCTGATGTGGAAACGGGTGGGTCGGGCATCTCGTTTCTTTAGGGAGACGGCTGGCCTGCAAAGTTTGGCTTGGTGTATTTTTCCTTGGTCTGTTAAAGAACAAATAGTAAGGACTGTGGGGTGATTAAAAAAAGGAAAAAACTAGTTTCTGCTGCTCAGTTGGTATGGGAGAAGTCAGTCAGCCCATTTGAAAAACCAGAAGTCTCTTTAGATGTCTGTTTCCTTTGTAACCACAGTAAGCTACTGGCTGAAGGCTTTTTCCAAACACGAGTTTGTTTCAGAGGCCCTTCCTTAAATAAATGTTTAGTTTGGTGGTAAAATTCCTACTGCCCTACCTGGGAGGTGAGCCCCGAAATGTGAAGGTGGGCTCCAGCAGGGCGCTCACTGGTGCCAGCAGCTACTGGACTGTAGGGTTGACAGTCATGGCAAAATACTGCTGCCAAATAACCCCCTGAAATAAATGCACCTGGTGTTGGAGTTGGGTCTGGGCACCAGTTCTGTTTTGCAGTGCTCTAGTGGTACCTGATGCTTGGGAATTTACCCAGAGCCCTGGCGAATGCCACGCTTCCAGTTCTCCCCTGCAGGCATTTTTCCAAATTACAGGAAGGCGATTTCAGTTCACCAGCACAGGGGGTACTGAAGACAAGTTTGGTGAGGCCTGTGTTAACCTTAACCAGCGGAGAAGGGTTCCTAATGCAATGAGGATGGCAGAGGGTGCTGCTGCCAGCGGGGGGCTGGGGGAGCCACCTTCTTTTCCTCCAGCTGCCATCAGGCGCTGCCCCTGCTTCTTGGCCCTGGGCTGGGCAGATAAAGGCAGCAGCCAGCAGGGTGGCTTTGTTGCTAGGGCAGTCGGGCAGAGAATCTCCCTTGCCTGCCTGGGTCCTTATTTAACCCCGTCACTGTGTGCATTACTGCCAAAAATCAATGACTTGCTTTATGATGTGTGTTTGCAGAGTCTTTAAATAACGTACAGAGGAAAAACAACCAAGCTACACAGTGTACATTAGCTGTTAGCTAATAACTGAGAAGTTATTACTAATATCTTTTGGATTTAGCTTGTCTAAGCTAAACTTCCTCCTCATTTTCTATACAGGCAACAACATATTAGGCTTCCCCAAGCCCTGCTGGCACTGTACATATTAATGGGTTATTGGTATTGAGCTGCTGTGACTCCAGCACGTTCAGCAAGACTTGGCTCTGCAAAATGGCAGTGGCAGAGACGAACTCGGTGCAGGCTGCAAGCACTGCTTTAGAAACTTCCTCCGTGCCTGGAAGCTGCCCTGTGCTGAGCTCCATGGCCTGCAGGCACAGCGGAGGGGCTGCAGCCGTGTGTGGGGGCCGCGTGTCCCTGCCGCGTGTGTGTGAGCGGGGCTGTGGCACTAGGAGATGGGACAGGACTGGACGCTGGTCGCTGTGTCTGAAGCACGTGTGGGAGGAGATAACACGTGCTGCCTTTAAATGGAGCCATGGGAAAGTAAGGCCTAGATAAAGCAGTGCTTACCACGGGTGAAAATACAACAAATGCGCTCTTGAAGCATCCCAGGGAACTGTTTTTTGGACAAACGAGGAGACCTTCAAAATTTCAGCTGGTGAGAGCAGCTGTGAGAGCAGGGAGCACCAGCCCTGGCCCTGGTGAGCCCGTCCTGCTGGGGGGAGCTGCGGGAGATGAGGCTGTGGGGCTGCAAGTGCTCACATGCATCTCCTGGGGGATGGTGGCTGCGGACAGCTGTGCCTGGTGCCTTTCATGGGGCAAGGATTTTGTCTCCCAGCCCTCTTCCTGCCAGCCTGCTAGCATCTGCGTCCCATGCCGTGAGGTCAGGAGAACTGCAGGAGAGGTGATGGGAGGCAGGCAGAGCTCCGGGCACTTGCAGATGTGGGTTTGGTCTGGGTAGTCCTGTGTGCAGAGCAAGACGAAAGGAGCTGAGAGCAGGCAGCAAAGGCTGCCGGAAAACTGAAATGCTGGAAGGGTGATGTGGGGCTCTTTGAAATTGCAGTCGGGCTGTGAAGGGGAATCAGGCAGGCAGGTGTCTAAGCAGCCTGTAAGTAAAGGCATGCTGCCCTGCAGCTATGGAAATGCAGCAAAGTCTTTGCTCCACCGTTGCTTTCAGTGCTTCTCTGCAGCCAGGTAATTGCTGCCTGCTCCTGGCTGGGACTTGGCCTTGCATTTAGGAAGGGCTTTTAGCATACGAGCTTCTTTGTAGTGGATCTGCTCCTCTCTTGCTTGTGTTCAAGAGGCTTTAGATGCTCTTGGTCTGCCTGGGGCTGAAACATCTGTCTGTTTGCACATCTGCTCTCTGCTGCTGCTGGTTAGGCAGCGTGCTGCTCACAGCCCCCAGAGCTCCTGCTGCTGGGTGCTGTGGGCTTGGGGGGCTCTTCTCTGCAGTAGGGTGTGCTTGTAGAGTATGGCACCCAGCACGTGCTTCCAGTGTCCAGGGAGCCAGTGGAGATGATGAGCTAGGGCTGAGGATAACTTCCAGGACTGGAAGAAACACCACAGCGCAGCACAGTAACACATTGGGGAAGACAAGCATTTGGTCTGGACTTCGTCGGTGTTGACCGCATAATAATGCAGAAAGCTTCAGCTACCACTAATAGCAGGCTCCTAACTTCATTAGTGCTCGGTTAACGCGTGTGTAGGAACTGGTTGGCTGGTGTTACGTTTTTGACCTGTGTCAGTGCTGTCAGATGGCCAGTTGTGCTGTGTGCTGTTGGTTGTGCGTGAGACCTAAAATGACAGCCTGAGCACCCCTCAGCCAGGTAAGCATTGACTTCCCACTGCGTAATGTTATTCGAATGGGGCAAGGGCCCAGCTGGGCATGGTTCCTCAGAAACGTCCTCAGAAACATCTTTGTTGTATCCCTGTGGCATAACCAAACATTCTGAGCTTGAAGGGAGCTGAGATCTTTCTCTTTTTTTTTCTTTCCCTCCATGAAATCCAAGGCGGAAGGAGCTCTTAAGCACCTCTCATCCGTGGGGGTTGAAGTGCAGGTCCCAAAGTTGCATTGCTCTTATCATTTCATTCAGACTAGAGCCACTCATGCGGAATAGCTGCTGTAAAGGGCAGTGTTAAATGTGGAAACGATTAAGACTCTAAGATAATAACATACCGGCATCTGCATTGTGTTCTGCTGGTAATCCCAAGAGCCAGAAAGGAGCAAGAAGATCTAAGCCACAATATAGCAGATTTGCTCTGTTAAACAGGTGCACATTGAGAAAGGAATAGTGCACTTAAATTGGTGTGAGATACCCTATTCTTAAAAAGTAAGTGACCCTCCAGGAATTGATCTGTAAGGAAGTTTATTCCCTCTCTTAAGCCTGTTGTGTAGAGAAGAGTTCAACTGTTTAAAAAGGAATACAGCAGTTGCAATGTGTGTGAAATATTTTGATGCATAAATCTTTGTTTTCTCTTTCCCCAGGAGATGGCAAATTCTGTCTACTTGGTTATGGAGGTGAGTGTCTTTATCGTTTTTTCAACTTTTTTCATCTTTAACTTGGATTAAGCAGACCAGTTCATTAGACAAGAAGTGTTTTCTGCTCAGTCTCACCTGCGATGCTTTTGCTAATCTAATATGCAGCTGCATACCTTTGAGAACTGGAACAGTGTGGATGAAGGTAGCAGTGGGATTTCTTTATACTGCTGCTGTTAGAAGGTCATGCTGGCAGAGGTTTAATCAGTTGGATGCCTTACCTCAAGGGTCAAATGAGCATTATGGGATAGTACCTGCTTCAAAGATTCATGGAAAGAACATTTTATCCACACGGTATAGCTGCAAAGCTTTTTGTATGTTTTCTTTCTTCTGCAGTCTTTGCTCTGAGGTCTTGTTGACCTTTTCCTTAGTGATGTGGAACATAATGTAGGGAATTTCAGTTTTCAGCTATGGCTGCTCCCAGGTTTTCCTTAGTCAGCTTCCTGGTGGTCTTCAAGTGGTGACCTTTCTGCTCTCTTGGTTTTGTCTTTCTCTCTGCGCATGCGCAAGGATGTACACATGTAGGGCGAATATGCCAGAAGAGGAAGCTGTTGGAATAGCTTTTTTTCTGCCAGTTTCTGAATGTATATTCTGATGTGATTATTTTTAAATACCGTGATAAGCTTGCAGTGCTAGTGAAGTTTTTAGTCCTTAATTTGCTTTGCATTAACTGAGCTTTCTGTTCTGCTTCCAGTACTGCAATGGTGGTGACCTGGCAGACTACCTTCACAGTAAGTAGAACAGCATGGAAAGTATCCTCGGTATTTGTAAGGAATCGCTGATGGTTCTTACTCCGTAAAGTTGCTGGGGCTTGACATCATCCTTTAATCTCACTTCTTAATGTGGCTCTGCATCATGGTTAAACAAAGTTTGGTTTTACTGTTAGAATTTAAAGTTAGTCAGCTGGATAATACTTCGGGCTGCTTATTTGAGGGATGAAATGCCTGGAAATGGCAAAAAATGAAGGATTAAAAGCTAAATTTAAATTCGCCCTACAGCTAGTGTTGAAATCCCTACTTTTGACGAGTGCTTTTGATGATAAGCTTTCTTTTAGGATGAAATTATCTTGGAAAATTCAGATTTCTTCCAGGATATTTCTCTGGTATACATGAGGCACATCTTTATTGAGAGGTTATGGTGCTGCTTCAGGTTATTTTGATAATCGCATGCTTATATTTCATTGCAACATCTACTTTTCCACTGGCTCTCTGACATTTTTGCTGGTAGTTCCTGTAGCACTTAAACAAGCAGCACATGCAAATCCACTGCTTCTGATTGAATGAGATGCTTGTAAGCTTCCCAATCCATTCTGCCCTCTAATTACAGGCATTAGGCAATATGGTAATCCTGTGTTGAATCAAAAGGCACTCTACTTCCCCTTGTCTTCATAACTGGACGACGTGCATATGTGCACGTTTCAGTGCAGTGCGCGTTTGTGTTGGATTAAACTGTTGGTCAACCCCACCTCTGATACAAGCTGAGGTTGTATGTGTTCTGCTGAGCAAAGCTTCTGTGGTGCTGGTGTTTTTTAATGATTTCTCTTCTGATAGATCTCTGTGGATGTTGCTGTCGTTTAAAGCCCATCACAGGGTATGTTTTGAGCTTACAGTGGCAGATCTCTGCGATGTATGGTAGAGCTGTAGGAAGCATTCCAGAAGTCACCGTTTTTACTACAGGAGTAACTAAAATTTTGTAGCTTGTGACAGGAGATCAGAGCAGGTTCATCTACGATTTCTTTAAATTCTGTGAATTGGCATTGCCACAGGCTGTTATGGGTGGTCACGTTAGTCTCCTGGTGTAAATAGAAGGGCCTCTGCAGGAGTCGTGCTGGCCATGTTCTGTGCACATGGCCCTGGGGGGGTTGCAAGACAGGCCCAAATAAATCAGCCTGGCCTTTCAGACTTCAGCATGATTTGGATTGGACGCGTGTTAAAGAGATGCTTGTGCACCTGTGGGTAAGAGGAGAAGTTATTTTTCCTAAATAACTTTTCCAAAATGGTGTTGTCATTCAACATCAGCGAGCATGCTCCAGTCTGTTACCCTTGGATCAGCTGTCAGGGCGTGTTTACTGCGCTTTCCCAGGCAGCCTCTGGGCTGATTGAACATTTGCTACATCTCTCCACAGTGCTGACCAAAAGCCACCTTTTGAGGTGGTTTCATCCTTTTCCTATGCCTCAAGAGCTACCAGGCAGGCAGGCCTTGTGCTGACCCGCAGTAAATGTTTGTTCTGATCTCCTGACCTGTTCCCAAGGCAGCACACTGAGGGCCTCCTCACTCAAGTGGAGCCCATGAAAATAAACAGAGGGGATATTATTACTTCTCAGTAATGGCAAAGTGAGGCTTGTGAAACAGTGATCTCTGCAAGAATGTGTTGCTGACCACAGGCCTCCGTGGAGAGGCCTGGACTTCAGTGCAGCCTCAGTGTTTTGCCAGTTCTCTGGGGAAGATGAGAGTGACCTTTTTTTTTCAGGGACAGAAGTACAAGTTTCCTGTTTGGGATGTCATGGAGACAGTGAGTTGTCTTGTTTGCCACATCTGTTTGGTGACATCTAAATCAAATGAGTCTTCTGTATGTTCTCCCTCTGCTGATGGTGGTCGGTCTGAAGACCATTTGCAGACTGATGTGTACATGTTCCTGGTTTTGGTAATCGTCCCATTTGGAGCATGCTAATGCTGCTTTTCCTGATTTTTGTAGAACAAGACAACTTGATCTGATATTAAACCTGCTAGCCTGAAGTAAATGAAAGGTGTTAGTAGGAAGGATGCGTCAAAATGAGCTACAGGCAGTACACAGAAAAATCCAGGTGCTGCAAACTGTGAAGGGAACAGAAGTCCGACCCTTAGCTCTTCTGTTGTGGGGTTTTGAATCCCTGAGCTTGATAGTACAGGTGACATTAATTTTTGCCCTACTCTTCATAGACTTCAGGATTCTCTGAAAGTGACAGTTGCATTTATTTCTCTGTCCTTCAGTTGGAGATTGCTGCTGTCATTTGGTAGACTGATGGGCTGAGTATGAGAGATAAGGACTCCTGTTTTTCTCTGTGATGTGTCTGTTAATGAAGTGAAATAAAAGGGTATGCCCCTGTGCTCCCGGTGTAACTGCCTGTCCCTCTTCTGTTATTGAGAGCATCTTCTCAATTTCACAGTCCTCCCTTGCCATGCTACTGTGATTCTTGAGATGTGATGCTGCCAGAGGACCCGGCAGCCCTCTGCCTAATTTTTCTATGCTGCATTGTGGTAACTTCACTGTGCCACCGCAGACTGACTGCAGGAATCTCTCTACAGGCTCAAGACAGGAGCATAGATGCTCAGTGTGTTAGGAACACAACACCTTTGAAAGGTTAAAAGCTTCAAGTGTGAAGTGGAAAAAGCTGAAATTGGTAGCTTAGAGGCACTATATTCCTCAGGGGAATGGGTTCTCTGGTTTCAGCTATAATGATTTAAAAATATATATATATATTTTTTTACCCCAGTTTGAAAGGTTAGGGAGGCTTAACTGGTTTGAGGGAATGGCAGCTAGTGCGGTGTTCATCTTATTGCCACCACACTATATAAAAGGGAGGGTAACACCTTGAAGATGTGGCATGCTGCTGGAACTGCGGGTCAAGACAAGGCTCTAAAGAAAACAGCTCTGCTAGAGGCGAGCCGTATTTAGCCAGGAGTTCCTAATTGCCTGCTGGCTTAATAACGCTAAGAGCCACCAAGTTCCAAGCCTTGTTTCTTGTTTGGGGGAAGATGAGACAGCCTCTCCTTCCCGGGGCCTGAGCTGAATTGAGCAAAACTTGTTGGAGCTCTTGCTGTTTTGCAGAAGGACGGGGTTTAAGCTGTTCACGAGTAGGTGTCTCAGTCCACCTGGGGAAAGCTTTGTTAAAGAGAAGGAAGTAGAGGTGTGGGGTTTTTGTTGTTTTTTCTTTTTTCTTTTTTTCCCCAGAAGATGCAAGTAAGTTTGGTAGATCTGCATCTAAGCTGCCTCTTATATCTTTAAGATCTCTTCACAGAATCGCCCCCTCTTGCAGAGCAGCCTTTTGAATTCCAGCTGAGTGCCAGTCCATGAGGAAAAAGGCCCAGCAAGGGGAGAGAAACTCTATATACACGTGCACTTGTGTCACGTGTACGCATCCAGGAGCGGCTGATGGCCGTGGTGACATTTTAGCTCTGCTTGTGCCTCTTCCTAGAACAGCAGGGGCTTGGGAGCGGTGGGAGTTTATTTTCTATTCTAAATGCTGTTTAACTTATCTGTTTCCCATGCGCATATTTCAAAAGTTAGATTTTTAATTTCCTGTGTTGTGTTAAAGCTGCCTGCAACCTCATCTGTGTTTTCATAAGGATTCCTCCCTTCTAGCTGATGAGGCAGAGTAGCAGTTTGAAGTTCCTGCCAGCTTGTTTTGAGGTTTTACTAGAGAACAGCTGGAAAAATACTAATGAAGTCCCGAGTAATTTATCGGGACCTTCTACAAAAGAAATGATTTAGTTCAAGTGGAACGGTGCTTTCTTTAAGCCTGCCTCATTCAGCGACTGATAAGGAAGCAGGCTGGTAGCGCTGTTGGTCCTGTGGTCTGTTCAGCAGGCTGCTCCGAGCTTTGACAAGTTTCATGTGTGCAGTTCTTAAAATAACAGAAGCTAATGTTGCACCAGTCTGATTAGAAGGTCCAGATGAACATTATTTTAATCCCTTCAGTGTTATTTATTTCTCACACCACAGTTCTTGGGAAGCCCTTAGCTAAGGAGAATAAGTTCAGTGCTTCCGTATGACCAGAATTTGATTATTAATTTTTAAAAAATATTTCTTTATAAAAAAGACCTCACAGGGGACACTTGGTAGGGGGATTTTTGCTAGGTATTGGACTGCTTTTCATCCTAACACTGGATTTGGATTAGAGTTATGGTTGGGTCTAGTGAGTGCTGATGCACAAGGATTAGGCCTGGACTTGGCTTCAGATCCCTGGTGGCCATGTACCCGAATCTGCCAGCCTTTTCCATGCCCAGCCTGAGCCATAATGGTTGCTGCAGACATAAATCCTAATCCTAACGGTGTCTCCAGGTTTAGACGTAGTCTTCTCGATAAAGCTGTAATGTCTGATGGCTGCTGACCATAGCTCAGAGGTGACCCTCTCACTCATCAGGTTGCAGGCTCTGTCTGGCTGCATGCTTAAAGCAAGCTGGCAGCTCTTGCTGAGGGAAGTCCTAAACCTCATCAAATGTCACTTTTGGACACAGCTGATAACCCAAATTCGGCACTTGCCACTGACCTGAGTTCACTATTAGACTCTCAGGGCTGAAAACAGCCCTGGTCACAGCATAAACTGGGAATGCAAAAGCTCTCTCTTAATGCCAGCACTGAGCATTCAGAAATAGTGCGTGGAGGAAAAAAAAAAAGCCAAATTATTGCTAATTGCTCTGGAGAAACTACCCCCTGGGCTCTTTGGAGAACTAGCATTGTAATTCTTTCATCTGTGGTTATTTTTCCCTCCTCCCTAGCTATGCGGACGCTTAGTGAAGACACCATCAGGCTCTTTCTTCAGCAGATAGCAGGTGCCATGAAAATGCTGCACAGCAAAGGCATCATCCATCGGGATCTGAAACCACAGAATATTCTCCTTTCCTACGCTGGAGGCAGGAAATCAAATCCCAACAACATACGCATAAAGATTGGTAAGACCCTGTTACAAGTGTCACCCTAACAGCTCTCAGGAGACGTTGGTAACAGATAAGTGGCAAGCCTCAATTTCTTTTGGGAACTGTCTAGAAGAAAATTTCTCCGCTTTTTAATATGCCCTAATGTTTTTCCACTTCCTCACTTAATTCCTCTGCAAGACATAACCGAGTTCAGCTAACTTCAGTGGGCCTCCAAGCAGTAGGAACAAGAGCTTTCTGCTCTGCCAAGACATGGGCTAATATAAAATAAATTGGTCAGGCTTTGCTCCATTTCCAAGCAGAATGGTGCCTCCCTTTGTAAAAACAAATACTATCCTGCCCTAATTGGCTTGCAGTCTCTAGGCTTACCAAGAAAGGAGCTGCTGCGGTGGCTTTTCTATTTGGCTTTTAGTAGAACTGAGGATAAATACTAAGTGGTGTCTTAAGTCCTAAAAGTAGCTCTTCTACTGTCTGGCTTCAGAGCATAAAGGAAGTCAGGCACATCACAAAGCAGATGTTTCTGCAGTCTGAATTAGAGGTAGGCTTCTCAGCAGCATATCTAAGAAAGTTACTTTTTTGTGAAGTGTAGAATTATCTGGAAGGTGGCAGTAAGCTATTTGGGAGATGCAGATGCAGGCGGGAGGGCTGTGGGCACAGCACACCATCTGGGCACTGCTGCTCTTCGGTGTGATGTGCCCTGCAACCCCTCCTTCCCACCTCCCTGAGAAATACGTGGTCCAGGGAATAGCTAGCTAGACCAATCAGTGACAGATGACAGTATAAACAGCTGTGTCAAATCATTTCCTTGCTTGAAATATCTACTAACCTTGAAAGAACCTCCAAGTATCATATGATCAGATGCTGAGTAACCTGCAGATGTAACTCGTATTTGTATTCCTAGCCCTTGGCTTTTCCAGCTACCAGGTGATCTAATGGCTCAGCTTTCTCCCTTCGTCCTGGAGTTAGCACTGCTGAAACTTCTGAAGGAATAGAGCAAGTCTGTTTCATTAGGGCTTTCCTACAAATGTGGGTGGTGGCAAGTAGTGGTTTCTCTTGGATGCCTGCTGCACTGCACTCCTTTTCAGTGGAGGGGAACTGTGAGTTCCCCAAATTAAAAGTTGGGATGGCAGCAGATGAATTGGCTGGTAGAACTGGCACGCTCTCTCTGAAGTCAAGAAGATTCCAGCAGCTGACATTTTGGAACGCAAGCAAACAGAGACAGAAAGAAGTGTCTGATCTCTCAAAATGAATGGGAGTTCATTCTTCTAAATACTGTGTGCAGTTTGGTTTCCCGTGTTCTAGTGTCTCCATTACAAGTCAGTAATGAGCACAAGGATGTTACTGCTCAGGGAGAGAGCTGTCGAAGTCTTGTGATTTGTGTGGGGTACATGACCTGCTGTGAAGGGCTCGGGGGAACTTAGGAAGGTGCAGGCTCTCTAGAGCTCATGGCTGACCTTGGCCCACCTCTCTGTTTCTCTTTGTAGCTGACTTTGGATTTGCCCGATACCTGCAGAATAATATGATGGCAGCGACTTTATGTGGTTCACCAATGTACATGGTAAGTGTGTTTTGCTGACAAGTTTTTGTGTATTGGTCTTGCTTCTTTGTTCGCCTCCCACTCCCAGAGGCAAGGTTTTGTGTTTCATTAATCGTCCCCCAAAAAGTGAAATTTTAATGACATGTTAGAAAACAGCTATTACACAGCTATTGCTTCAGAGTTCTAGCTGCAGGTAATGTCAGGCGACAGGTGCGTGTGTTGTCATCCAACTTTCAGGTGAGCTGTTGATAAATAGAACTGAACAAAACAGAGTATTAATTGCTCTCTGCTCCCAGAAACAGTACTACCAGAGCATTTACCACTGAAGGTGCAGAGAAATGAAATGTATTTTCTCTGCTGCTGGTGAAGCAACAGAGTGAGGGCCAGGACGGTATTCCACACACCTGGCTATATTGGCAGTGTTGTTTCCTTGTTGAAGAACCTCAATAAATCACTGCTTTGGCAGAACTTTTTGAGACTGTTTCCACAAGCCTACGGTCACCTCGAGCCTTTCAGTTGTTTTTGCTAAGGCCAGAAAATCAGGAGCAAGGTCCTTGTTAAACAGCAGTTTTGTAAACTCTCCAACTATTTTTAGCTGTTTGGTCTTGCAAAATCCTTTCAGGCCTACAGGACTGTTCAGGCACAGATATTGCCTTCTTGCTAACTTACTGCTGCTAAGTGTATTTTGTACTCGGGAAATGGGTGTAAATGTAAAGGCCACTTGCTTCTTGTTCTGTGCACTGCCACTCCCTGTTCTCCACCCTCTGCATGCTGATTCTTTCAGCAAACCAGCTACTTCAGAGATGATTTCTTAGCCTGAGAACCAGATGTGTTTTAAAAAACAAACTGATCCCTTTCACTTCCTTTGAACTTCCTCATCTGTGACTGGGATGTGAGGACGTAGTCTCTTGTTTGTTTTCATGGAAGCAATCAGGATCTCAGTGTCTCAGTAAGCCAATGAAATTAAAAATGACAGAGCCAGGACAGGAATAAAAATGTCAAAACCAGCCATGTAGTAGTTCCTGGGGGTGGGTGTCTGAGCTCAAAGTTAAAAAGTTTATGTGGATCAGTTTAGGCTGAAATTTTTACAAGTGCCCTGAGGACAGTAGGCACTTGGAATCAGAATCATAGAACAGTCTGGGACGGAAGGGGCCTTAATGATTATCTACTTCCAACTCCCTGCTGTGGGCAGGGACACCTCCCACCAGACCAGGTAGCTCCAAGCACCATCCAGCCTGGCCTTGAGCACTGGCAGGGATGGGTCAGCCACAGCTTCTTGGGGCAACTTGTTCTAGTGCCTCACCACCATCACAGCGAAGAACTTCTTCCAAATATCTGATCTAAACCTACCCCTTTTTAGTTTAAAACCATTATTCCTTGTCCTATCACTACATTTCCCTAACAATGAGTCCCTCCCCAGCTTTCCTGATTTTCCTTGATTGTCAATATGTTCTAATACCTTTAAGTTTTGTCTGTACCTTTAGGTCAAACAGTTAAGCTGGACTGTGCTACGATGCACAGGGGTAGCATGTTCCACAGTACAAACTCAAGCAAAACAGACTTCCTCTCTTTCCCTTCTTTGAAGCCTGATGTTTATTTGAACTATGCTATATGTGAAGATGATGTCATTTTTTTCCCTCCTATGAGAGTTTCCGGAATTGTCTGTTTTTAGTGACACTTTTCTTTCAGAGTCTCTTATGAAAGTAAATCAAAACACCCAGCGTGATGTGTTTTTTCTTTGTTTTTGCCTGAAAGAAGCTACCGATGACCTTTTGCTGTTTTATCTTTTTAATTTAAATGACTCTGGACATTACAGGGAATCTCAGTGTTTTGTATTGTTCTCTGTTTACTGATAGTTTTGAGGGAAATTTGTGCAGGGAGGGCTGAAAGTGGTCTTCAGGGGATTCTTTGAAGTCTGTCCCTGTTGCTATTATGGATCTTGTGCATTAGCACTGAAAACGTACAGAAGGCAAGCCCTTATTCCCTGTTTTAGCTCCTAGCCCGTTGCTGCTGTTTTCATGTTGCTTTCTTACAAAGAAAGGCATGTAACCAACACCACAGTGAGCTTTGTGGCTCAGTCCTGATACAATCCGTGTCACATGTGACTTGAAACCTTCTGTAGTTCTCATCCTCTAGCTTTCTTTGGCTTTGTTTGGTGTCATTCCTGCTTCATTTGGCGACAGCAGCTTGGTCTGTTCCTGACTTCTCTGCTGCCATTTTTTTCTGTTACATGCAGCCTTTGCTCCTAACAGCTAAAAGTTGATCCCGTTCCATGCTGGCAGCACTGCGATGAAATCTGTCATTACAAATGTGTGGGATTAGCCAGCCTGCCCTTCTGCCCCTCTTCCAGCACTGCTCCCCAGGCAGGCTGCGTGCTGAACCATGGGGCCTTGCGGGCTCACTCTGCCTCCAGCCTCTGGAGCAAGCCAGGGAGGGAGCAGCTGAGGGTGTGAGACTGGAAACCGGTGCTGAGACTGAGGCACAGCAGGGCTCAAGCTGTTGGGCTGCAATGCCCAGGTCTGCCTTTGAACCCAAACTGTGGCTTTGGCAGCAGGCTCTGGAGCATACTTAATATGCTGTCATCTTGGGCTAAATGAGGGAAATACACAAGTGCTGCTGATCAGGGCAGAGGCTGGAGCTTACCTGTGTGGTTTGAGCCTTTGCTTTTCTTGATCATTTATCTGTTCCTTGCTTTGCTTTAGAAGATCTCTGTGATTTCAAGGAGCTGCCTTCTCAGTACAGGTTTTTTCAGCAGAATATGGTATGCTCAAGAAGAGAAAGTACTGCGCTTACCTAAAGTAGGCGTAACAGCATTGGGTGTTCTTCTGTCTGCCTGAACAAAAGCTTTGCTTCCCCAGCTTAACGAGGGAATTGGCCTTGTCGAGGTAGTTGGCCTTGTTGGGAGCAAATCTTTTGTGGTTATTGGAAATCCAAGTCAGGGGTTTTTAAAACATCAGTGACTTGTGTTTCTTTCCTGCAGCTGCCAAAAATAGCCTGCATCTTTTATAAAACAAACTTCTGTTCTCTCCCAAAAAGGCACCTGAAGTCATCATGTCTCAACACTACGATGCCAAAGCTGACCTGTGGAGTATTGGAACCATCATTTATCAGTGTCTGACCGGAAAGGCTCCTTTTCAGGTGAGTAGCTTCGATTTCATGTTTCTGAATTAGTAGTAGTAGTATAGATGATATCTACTTCAGAGTAAGTGGATTTAAAAAAAATTCCAATAGAGCCAGCCTTATACAGGTCTGCCTGCCCAGCACATTGACAATGTGGTGCCTCACACGTTTTAATGCTGGAAGTGGTACTAGAAGATGACTCTCCTCTCCTCTGGGCTGTATCTCAGTAAAATGCGTTTTGTGGTTACAAACCCTTAGGGAAGGTCACTTATTCAGGAAAACTGTTATGGATCAGTTAAGCAGTAATATTTCCAGGCACATTTTTAATAAAGAAAAGAGGTGGCAGAGGAGAACACTTCATATTTGCAACTATGCTCACTGTGTAATTTGTGATTATAATTCTGATGGATGTAAGAACAACAAGGAAGACTAATTGCAAGTTGATGTTAGGGATGATTTGGTGGTAACTGGTGTATTGCAGATAAATCAACTTTGTCTTTAGAGCAGCTAAGTAGGATCTTATCAACAGGATCTTATCTGTCATCTCACAGCAACCCCTTCCAGCCTGAAATGTTTGTTCATCAAGTCCAAACCCCTCTAAATATAACACAGTCCAGTAAAACTCCACCCTGTAATTTATGCCATAACTCCTGACTGAGCTAGAGCATATATTTTTGTGAAAGGCATTCTCTGATTTTAAACTTCCAAATAATGGAGAACTTATTGCAACCTTTTGCAAGTTGCTTCAGGATTACTTCACGTACTTCTAATCTTAAGTATAGCTGGAATGAATCTAAACTCAGTGCATTTTTCTTGTTCCTAATCATTAGTGAGCCACAGAGTACGCTGCCTGTTACTTTTTTTTCTTCCATGCTAAATGAGATTTGCAGACTCCCCTTTACAACCACTATTTTAAAGTACTGTACTTGTCAGTTTTTTTTTCCTTTCTGACTTGCAGCAGAGCAGAGACTCAAGTTCCTGATAATTCTTTGCTGCTTTAATATTTGAGCTCTTTAGAGCTCATCTCTGTCTAATCCATGGAAAAAAAACAAACCACAAATTTGTATGCTGATGTGAGTTCCAGTTCATGCCAGCTCTGCAGGTTTAGATCATTTAGGGCAATTGTGAACTATAGCCCTTTTTTTTTTTGCGTATGTCTGTCTCCCTTTAAAAAAAAAATCTGCAGGATTTTCTGAGCTTTAGTTCTATAGCTCTTTACAATTTCATGTGAGACCTCGAATATTTATGCAGTTAAATCGTCAGGAAGGATAAAATGAATTCTGAATCTGTTGCAGGAAACAGTGGGCAAATACAGAAGTAAAGTAATGGTATGTTTTGGTTTTGTCTGTGTGAAGAACCTTTTTTTCCTTCAGGGTAATTTTTTCCCTGTTGCTATGAGAATCTTCCATTCCAGTGCTTTATATTCTACCCACCAGCTTGATCTGTATTTAGCGCAAGACTTCATTTCCTTTCCATGTTTCTTTTTTATAAACACCCCTACAAAAGTACATGGAAACTCCTGAATGGATCCCACTTGCTGGCTGCATGCACTTGTTATTAGTGTTGGTATCTTTGTTTGAGAGGAGAAAATGACTGTTAGGATAAAAGAAAATATTTGTGCAGTAAGAAAAAATGTGGGTGTGGAGAAAGCAAGCTTTGACTACATGCATAGGAGAGCTTTTCACTGATTTGGCCTTGTAACTTGGTCCTCTTTAGTCTCTGAAGGCCCCTTAATATTGAATTCATTTAAATGATGTAGTTATCGCTAACATGGTGACTTTCACAAGTGTTTTTCACTGAAGTTTTTTCGCTTAATATCTCACGCAACCTTCGGGCATCTGATTGCTTTGCAAAGAGTTAGGTGGCTTTTCTTACTCGTCATTGAAGCATGTTGCAGAAATGTGCTTCTAAAAACATTTGTTTTTATAGCAAACATTTTTCAAGGGAATTAAATTAAATACCAGGCAGCTTCATTCAGCTTCTCAGCCAAGGTTTTGGGCAGGAAGATGGTCAGAATAACATTGGCCTCCTGCCTGTATCTGTGTCCTCAGGCTCACACAGAGGTGAGGCAGTCCTATGATGCTTGTGTTCCTTTGATTGAGCCATGGCAGTCCCCTGCCTCACAGTGGGCAATGGAGGGGCACTTCGGCTCCTGCCCAGCAGGTTCTGATCCTTGCTTTGTGCTTGCCTGAATGGGGAACTTCTTTCTCTCCCATATACATCTGGCATCTGTTGGTCTAGGAGTCATTTGTTTCTCTATGTTCCCTGCACCCCCCCACCTCCCCTTCTTCTTTTGGGGTTTGTATTTTGAAACAAAATGCCCAGCCCCATTTGTTACTGCAGTAGCAGCTGTGGATTTGTTTGATCAGGGAGAAAGAAAAGCTCAGCCCAGATGGTTCTCTGTGCTCCATCTATTTGTTTTGACTGTGTGTGTGTCACAAACTGCCTTCTCCCAGCTGTAAGTTTCAGGTGAACGAAGCCTGTCTAGGGCAGATGTTGGAAAGCTAGTTAAAGGTTAACAAGCTTTATTTTGTTGTTGGCATGACTGTGTTGTAAGAATTTGCTGACAGGCACTGAGCAGGCGAGAAGCTATTGCTTACAGGGCTGGGGAGAGGAGAGTAGCGGACAAGGTGATGCACCTGTGGCCAGAGGTGCCGGGGACACCGTGCTTTTGGAGGGGACGTCTAGAAACGGATGGAGAGAGACCAGGCTCGTTCTGCATAGTGCCAGCAGCGCAGCCAGTTGTGGGCAGCCAGGAGCTGGGTTTCTCGTGTTAACCTCTTCAGGCTAAATCCTCACGGTGTGTTCCCTCCCAGACAGCACCTGACCTCTGTCTGGCTGAGATTCCCATGGGAATCTGGAGCACAGCATGAAACGTGCTGCGTTTGGGCTCTCTGGCTGCTCACTGTGTCAGCCAATGTTACTTCAGGGGAGTGCAAACCAAAAGGTTTACACTCCAGTGTTATCTGTAGCAAGGAGAAATTAGTTGCCTAAAAATAAATAGGCTTCAGGGGGCTGGGTTAGATGGAGAAAAGATCAAATGTGTGGAAAGGCTGAGGCAGCTGTCAATCCAAAAAGTGCCTGTAAATCTAGACAGATATGTGTGTGTGTGTGTTTTCGAGCTGTCTCAAAGTTAATTTTAACTGTAGCTGGGTCACCCAAGGCAACTTCCCAGAGTCATTCTTGTCCCTTTCTTGCCACCTTGCCTGCAGACAAGAAACTGCTATGCTCAGATGTGAACAGCTGCTAGGATGGCTGGTGAAGCTGTCGTAAGGAGCTTTTCGTATTAAACATGCCCATAAACAAAACAGTGAGGCTGCCATAGGGATGAGATTAACAGGATTCATAATCCCTATAAACAGATTTGCTGAGCGCTGTATTAATGTGGAATTGTTAATTTGCCTTGCCTAATAAGTGGTCTGCACTTGCAACTCTTCATTGCCGTCACTGAGGACAGGACTGGAACAGGGTTTCCAGGTCTTGCAGACCAGCACTGAGAAATGCCTCGAGTATAGCAGCCCTCTCTTGTGCTTAGCTGAGACAAAAAGATTGGGACCCAGTGCCCACCACGGAGAGGCGGAGGCTGTGTAGACAGGTGACAACTAGAAACAGAACTGGAGACAGGTAGGGGAGAAAAAAATCACACAAGGTCAAAAATAATTTACAAAAGCTATCTTGTCCTTGTAGATGATGATTGAAATGCGATTAGTTAAATGACTCAAGTCTTTTTTGGGGAGGTGGAAGAATAGCACTGATGCCCCGATGGGTCCCACTGTGTGACCCTTCTGAAAATTGGGCAGGTACTGGTAAGGAGACGCACAGACACACGTACATGTGTCAGGGCTGTACCTGGCAGTGGCACTGAGGCCATTCAGACATCCAGTCCTGACAGGGAACATGAAACCTGGCTGTCTCCTGGTTGAGCCTTTGTAAGCTCGCTGCTTTGTGGCCAGGGAGCAGGAGCTGTAACACAAGTTGCTGGTCTGTCTGGCAGCTCTGAGCCAGTCAACCTCTGTGTGGATGTTCTCATCCCAGCTAGCTGGTAGATAGACACTTAATCTCTAAGCCTGGTGTACCAAGTCCCCTGCTTTATTTCTGAATTAAATCCTCTGGTGTAAGTACTGAGATTACATGTCACTTAAAAAAATAAAAAGAAATACTGTGTTGTAAAATGGGCTTTGAGGAAAACTGGAGGAGGAAGATTTTATACCCAGAATTGGAACTCCAGGTTTACTTGCTAGGCCTATGTTCCCAAAGCTGCTCCTCTGGGAGCAGCTCTCGGTGTCCAAGCAGACAGGTACTCCTTGCTGAGCTTAAAAGTGGCACTGGACTGCTGTGCTAAGATTTGACAGAGTGATCAACTACTTCTTGTAGTAAGAGCCATCAGCTTTTTGCCTTGTGCCTGTGGACCAGATCCTGTTCTCTCGGGAACTGAGAGAAAAACCTCCGTGGACAGCTAAAGAAAAGAGATTTTTTTTCTGCTGCTTGTCCTTTCAGGTTCCTCTGGATGCTTGCCACTTAGCTCTGGGAGTCTTAAAACACCCAGTGTAGCTCTGCATGAGGAAGAGGTATTTGCAGCAGGTTTTCAAGCTCTTCCTCAGAACCTGTTGAGCTGGAGGCATTATTACTCATTTCTTTTTAACGTATCTGAATTGCATCTCTGCACCCTCAAATCCCCAGGAATCTGCAGGAAAGGCTTCAGAGCAGGTACCATTCCATGTGCTGGGAGGTGTTGACCAGACAGTGCAGCTCCCTGGGGGTGTGACTGCCTCTGACTGAGCGCTGTGCAGCTCCAGCTTTTCCCCAAGCACAACAATCCCAGTGCTGAGCGCTTTTGGAAACCCCAGTGCTTTTTTGGGTGCAATTCGCTCGCAGGCAGCCAGCAGCGGGCGGGATTTGGCAGGACTGTGCTGAATGCCTTTGCTGGCTAAACATGTTTCCATTGCTGCTCAGGACAAAGTACCAGAGGGGCAGGATTGGATTTGTCTGATTGTCTTATATATAGAAAGGGCAGACAAAAACAGACCCAGTTACACCAAAGCAGCTGCTCCATAGTAACGTGAGAGGGGGAGCAAGGGTATGAGTTGGCCTGCTGGTGTGTCTCCTATTTGTAGGGAAGCTAAAACTGAACTGCCCGTTCTGTATCCCAGCTTCTGGCAGGTGGGTGCTGCCCTATGGGCAGCAGCTGGCTCGGCGTACCTTGAACGGTGCAGTTGGTAGGCACCTGAAATGTTTGCTTGCTTTTTTCTGATGGTTTTCTTGGACAGGGTGTGTATCTACCAGGAAGGTAGATTTCATATTAAGTCCTTCAATCCTAGAGGAAGGAATTCAAGTGGTGTTTTTAGTGTCTTACAAGCATCTCAGTGTTCAGAGAGGCACTATACTGTCGCAGGATTATCAGAGAAGCACGGCACTATTGTAGGAAGAACTGGGCAAAGTGGCTGAAGCGCTCTGTGAAGTGCTCAGTGCTCTGTGAAGTGGCTGCCAGCAGTGGGCTCGTTGCTGGGAGCCTGCTCCTGCGAGCAGGGCTGCGTGGCTCGCTTCATGGTTGAACTGCTGTGAAGGTGCCGCTGGTTTCACCAAAGTCACGGTGATCCACAGGTGTCTGTGCAGGGTGCTCATTAAAAGGACTGTGCTCCCCAGCACACAGCCACCTGTGTCAGGCCCGGCCTTGAGTTTTGGGCTGCTGGGGACAAGCCCCAGTGAGAAAGCACGGTCTGGGGGCAGAGAGGCCTGGTGGCGTGGGTACGATCCTGGCAGAACAAGTGCAGATTGTACTGAGAAAGTAGAATGGGGAGAAACAACATCCCTAAATGGGTCTCTCTTTTAATTTGTACAAAGAAGAGAGGAACTTAATTGAGGATTTTGTTTCCACCCAAGCTAGTGCTTAGAAACCCTTTGTAATGAACTGGGCTTTGCATATGTGCTGCTTTTAATATACTTCATCTTTATTGCCAGGAAAATTTCTGACAAAACACTGTTTGAAATAGATCAGAGCCTCATTGTATTTGTGAAACAATTGAGTTGTTGCGACAGGAAATGAACAGAGACAACAGCCAAGGCTTGTATCTCTCTGATGTGAGCAGACACTTAGCTTCCCTGCAGTGGAGTTGTGTTCCTCCTTGTACGCCGGGTGTCAGGCATATTTTTCATTACGCAGTGTTGTGGCCAAGCCAGTTGGTGCAGTGTGTACACTCGCCTCGTTAAAGTTTGCCAAATATTAAGAATCTAATTACAGGGCAAAATCTGCAAGGGGAAAGGTGTAAAATGGAATTTTACTGAACCAAATCAAATTGAACAGCGGTGACTGGAAAGCTGATGCAGACTGGCATCTACATAACAACATGCTGTGCTGAACAACATCCATTTCATGGCTTCTGAAAACGGTGCTTTTGTGTCTCCTGTTTGGGTCCCTGCTGTGTCTGTGAACAGCAGAGAGAGGTTATTGCAGAGAGAACTAGGAAACCTTTATTTCCTTCTGTTAGGAATCCAGTAGCTCTGTTTGTGCAAGGATCTGGGTGGGTGGGAGGGTGTGTGTAAACAGCAGAGCCCATTATGGTCTTACTGATAACAGAGCTGCAAGGCTTGGGTTGCTAACACTATGTGAGAAGTGCTGTCCTGACCAGTAGTACACCAGTCTTACTGATACTAGCAGCTACCTCTTGGTTTCTCTGAGTTCAGTACTGAGCTTTCTCAGCTGTTCTTAACTTCATGTTCATCTTTAGTCAGAGGGAGTAGGTGATGTTGAAACAGCATCTTAAGTGGCTGTTCTTCCAGCCGTGCTGTGGTGGTGGTATTGTGATGGCCATCTGCAGATTGGCTTGTCTGATTTGCCACTTTGAGCATCTTAATCGACCTTAAGTGCTTCTAATTTAGACATGGAAGTAGGTGGAAGGCTTGAGGGTTTTCTGTCTGCAACACCAGGAGAGCTGCCTGTTGCCTCCTGGTTCACACTTTCCTAAGCATTCTGCTGCACCAGTAATTGGTTGCACACAAACCTTTCTGATCTTCCTTCCCTGTTTATATTTACCTTGTCTGTGTCATGCTACCCAGCCTGCTCTCTCTTTAATAAAGAGATATTGCCTGAGCAGAAAAGCTAATACACTAGGGTTAATTGACTGGCATGCATTTGTTGATTGTATAAAAACAAATAGAGAAATTATGTTAGGAGACTTGTCTGTGCTTCTGTACTTATTTTTAACTTCAGCTGTACAGCTCTAGTTGTGACGAGCCCTTTTTTGTTTTTAATCCCATTTCTCAAAATTTAAAATCTTGTCAACATCCCCCCCAGCTATGTATGTTACTACAGAAATAGGAGCTGTGGCTTGAGACCTTCTGGCTTCCTAGAGAGAAAGGAGAAAACTAATTCAGTTGCTGATTCCCCATGTTCCTGATTTCTTCATAGATTCCTTGCCCATCAACAGGCTCCCTGCCCTCTTGTAAATACCCTGCAGCAGTAATCCCTGTTCTCAGCAGGAGCTGCCATTCATCATTTGGGACTCCTCACGTCTGCAATTATTTCACCTCTTGGGTGAGGCTATTAGGCCAGCTCAGTCCTGAGCATCAGAGCCCACTGAAACAAAGCTCAGGGCTCAGAACAGGAGCGCAGGGCAGAACCAGGTCAGGGACAAAAAGGCAGGAGGCTGAAATAAGGTATTTTCACTCTGCCACAGTGCTGGCTTTTTAGACTAAAGCAAGCTGCAGGTTCTCATTGTCTCTGTTGGTTCAGTGATTTAAAAGTGCCTCTCTGCTCTTCAGAGTAACTGTGAAACAAAAATGCTAATCCCCTTCCTTTATTGCCAACTGCTTCATGCAATATTTTTATTTTTCCCCTACAGGCCAGCAGCCCACAGGATCTTCGTCTCTTCTATGAGAAAAACAAGATGCTGATGCCGAAGTAAGCATTCTTCCAGTGTTCATGTTTATATGTACTTGTTTACTGTCTTTACACCTATCCCCATGTGTTTCTGGCTTGTCACATGGGGAAGTGCCTATAAAATATTTGGCTCCCTGCCTTGCCCTGTTCCTTAAACCAGCAGTGATGTGGCTCAGAGAAAGTCAGAGAGCAGCAGATTTCCAGAGATGGTGTTCCTGCTTTCTCTAGACACTACTACTGCAAAAAAATAATAATAATAATAATTCAGGGTGGTTCGTGATTTCAGGAGCCAGGTGGTGGCCCTTTCCCACGTATGGCTTCTCTACAGCTGGGTACCACTATTAAGAAGAAATCATGGCAATTCTTGATTCATGCAAGCAGCCAAACTTCAGCTTCTCCTGCAATCTGTCACACCTGACTGGAGATCACATCCCCATGTTTTCATGTGTCAGGATAGCAACTGCTTGTGTCCATCCTGCTACTAGGAGGGAGATACTATAGCCGCTGTGGAAATGGACACTGCTGCAGTCTCCATGGGACACGGAGGGAAGATAACTGCCCTTATCCCAGGGGTATATGTTACCTAGTGCAGTAACTGGCTGCTATGTGGTGCTGTGATTTGTCAATATATCTTGGTTTTGTTGCTGTGATCTTTACTTTTGAACTGTGAGCTCTTAAAGCCAAACCTCATGCTTGCTTTTGAAACCTCAGCCTTGTATAGAGAAAATGCTGAAGTTCCAGATTACACATCCAAATTCTGGAAGGCATTTTTAACCAGAAAGTTAGCTTCCAGTTGGCAGAGCTGCTAATGCAACCACATATGTAGGAAGTTCATTGAGTTGATTTGGATTTTTCCTTGTTAGTTCAGACAGCTTTAAGAGAGGGCAGGAAGAACTACAAAGCAGCCAGACCTCTTATCAATGGCTTGTGCTATGCATATAATTTCCCTTTAAAATACTTCGTTTTTTAATTTTTGGGGTGAAGGGGGCAACCTTCAATCAGAATTAAATTTGGTGTACCTTCCTACTCTTCTGGCTTGAACCAGAGGTTGTGATGGAGTAAAACACCCAAACAAAACACTTTGGAACAAAACCACTCCTTGCAGCCAGTCTGTGTGAACAGAAAGCAGCCCTTCTGTTTCCCCTACACAGCCTAAAACATGGCTGCTCACCTTTGAGGCAGTGCCTCTCACAAAGAGAGAAATGAATCCCTACAGTTAATAAGTTCCCTTGTGCTGATCGTGCTGCCCTGCTGCTGCCTTGGCTCATGCATGCAGTAGGAGACAGCCAAGGGGAGGAATGAAACTCAGCTATAAGAGGCGAGCATGTCTGTTCGTGTAGGGATTAGTCCTTTTTCTTCATTAGAAGCTCACTGCACCCACTGCATTCACAATTTTCACTCATCTCTGCTTTTCAACTCCCAAATATCACCGAAGTTTAAATCCAAGCTCATTTTTTTCCACCATAGAAGTTGGATCCAAAGTGGCCTTTCGTTAATGCTTCCCAAAGTTTGTCCATTTGTCTCTTCAATGTGAGCCGCAATCTGTGCTATTTCCTGAGTAAACACGACCAAACTGCCTCCCTCAGCCCTGCCAGCGCAGGATGAAACACGAAACCACTCAAGAGATCTCATTCCCAGACGGCAGCAGTGCCAGGGCTTGGTTTCATTCTCCTTGGGGCTAGGCATGCTGGCACCCACCTCCCCAGCATCCCCACGGAAAGCAGTGCGTTTTGGCCCGGGAGTGGGGTGGGGAAGAGAAGCTGATTAAACCCTCAGCAGCAGCCTCTGCCTCCCAAGCCGATGCTATTGCGGGCAGGTGAAATGCCGTTTGGAGGCGGGGAGCCCATGTCGGTAGGACCAAGCCCAAAGGCCTCACAATTTGAATAGCACCGATCTAAATAACTAACATTCGTTGCCTGATTTGCATGGCAAAGTATGTTGTAGATCACGGGAGGAAGGAGGCAGCTTGGCTGCTTATGTTTAAAAAGACTGGCCTTCGAAAATAATACTGTAGGTTTCGAAGCTTGATGGTTTAGAGGTGAGAGGTATGAGGAGACAAACAGGCTGTTAATCTGCACTGTCCTCAGCCTGTTCTGACATCCTGAGGTCTAGTACTTGACCTGCCTGTTTCTTGGCTTTAAAATCATACAAAAGCTCAGGTCATTGCTGGGAAACACACTCATCTTGGATGAGCAGTTTGTGTCGTGGATAAATAAATTATGACGATAACACTGGAGGACTGCAGGACTCCTGCACTAATGTATTTTTCAGGAGCCTGTTAGCTGTGGTGTCCTGGGTTATTCCATTACGTGGTGTGCTTCTGAGGCACGCCTTCTTTTGACAAGATGTTGTTTTCTCTTGGCTCAAACGGAGTCTTGGTTTAACTGCATCCCTTCCAGAGCCCGGGTGCCCCCCTCTGTCAGCCTGGGAAGACCCACGCAAGTGTTACAGTGTCAGGGATGGAAAGCAGCTTCTCCAGCACAAACAAGCATGACGGATGCTTGGCGTGATCCTCTGTTCTAGGAATCACTGGGCTCAAATTCCTGCACAAGCGCGGCCTAGGACTTCACAGAATATTTATAAATACCCACCTTGCCCAACATCTCTGGTTTCACTCCAAACCAAACGAGATTTTGGTAGGGTCAGCTTTTTTCCCCCCACACTCACACTTCTGACCCAGCTTCTTTTTCAGCCTGTCTGTGACATGGTGGAAATGGTGCAGGAGCAGTTGTTTCACCCTTTCAGCCTTGGCTTCAGGGTGGTGAGCACTGCCCGAGTGAGCCACGTGCTGTGCTACTGAGCCGGCTCCGCGCAGTTGGCATTGCTGTGCTGAGCACACATGCCTTCACCTCGGCTGACCCTCGTGTGGGGAGAGGGGAAAGCTTGGCAAACCGTGGGGCCGTGCTGGGCACAGCCACGATAAACAGAGTTAATGCTGCAAGGAGTTGGAGCCACCTACGCTGAGTTTGGAGAGCTCTGCTCTGGCTGCAGGCAGGACGCTGCCGCTGCAGCCCCTAACAGTGCTGCTGGTTACAGAGGAAAGTCAGCAGAACTGAATCCACTTATGCAAGAGCTGAACTCTACTTTCCCTTCCTTAATCCGTTCATTTATTCCCTGCTTCTTGCAGTATATCAGGGTTATAACGAGCTGACCTGGCCTCTCCCCAGTCTGCTTGTGGGGTTGCAGAGAGCAATGATTTACTGGCTCTTCTGTGCTGCAGTGGCCATTGAATATAATTTTTTTTTTCCTAGCTAAACTGGAAAGTAAGGAAATAGCTGCACTAATTTTAGCTTGCTTGAGTGCCAGATGCTCAGATCTTACTGGCCTTTGATTAATAAATGATGTATATCAAGAAGCAAATAGACAAAGGTCACTTGCCAGTCTTACATAAGCAGCATTTGAAAAGAAATGCCTTAATAAAATGGCAGTAACTGGTGATACATTTCACCACGAATATTCTAATTGGGAGCTTCCCCTCAGTAACTGCTTCATTTTAATGACCTCCTTATTCCTGTTAGAGCAAGCAGAAGATGTTTTATTCAGCATGTGCAAAATACTGCATATAGACCAGGCTGAGCTGAGAACCAGAGGGTTGGAAGCGCAGTGGAAGGGAAGGATCTGGAGGTGCTCGTGGGAGAGGCCGCTAAAGCTCGATTCACTGTAGCCTTAGCAGTGACAATGGGGGGTAAAAGCCAGATGGATGCAGAGATGTTCCTGCCCAGCCTCTCTCCAGTGAGTTCCTATGATGTTCCTAGCCCAGCAGGCAGAAAGTGAGCTTGCACTTGCAGTTTGCCTTCGTGAATACGCAGAAGTAGCTTAAGTAGATGGAGGGTCTCTTACATGCTTTTGTTTTCAATCCTAGCATCCCCAGGGAGACATCAAGCCACCTGAGGCAGCTGCTGCTGGGCCTTCTGCAGCGCAATCATAAGGACCGCATGGACTTCGGTAAGAGACCTTCTTCCAGTTCCAGTTGTGCTGCTTGTCGGTGCCTTCCTTTGAGCTATTGCACTGCACAAACCTCCGTGCTTTTGGCTGGTGCTAGGAAAAGCATCCAGACTGGTAGTACCTGGCTTCTTACTTGCATTCCCTCTCCCACCTTCTGCTGTTGTAGTCTCTGAACTTCTGTAGTTAAGTATGCTATCAGGGGAAACGTGCTTCTTGTGCATCCCAGTTCTCACTGTCATAGTTTCTTCCCCACTGCTGCAAGCTGTATCCATTTAATGTATACGCTCTGACTCTCTCTATAGACCTGTCTCTGTCTCCTGACATGACTGGCATGGAGACTTCCTTTTTTTTTAAGCGTCTTAATTCCTTCTAGGCTGAGAACAATCATTAGGTGCTAGGCAGTTCTGGTTTTAGCAGCCTCTTCCAAATCTGTCAAAAGGTTCTGAAGAACCTCTACTGAAGCCATCATCTAAAGGAAAAGTGGGCAGAGGTGGAACTTTTCCTAAAGCCCGTTGTAAAGGACCAGTTCACCTAAAAGCAACACTAGTCTTTTCTCCCCTTCCCCCCTCCATTTGGAGGAGAGAGAGATAGTGTAGACCTTTCTCAGGTGAACACTGGGACAAGAACGTTGTCTCTCACCGAGGAAGTTGGTCCTGATGGTGTGTTAGCCTCTGAATGCGGAGAACAGCAGTGAGTAGCTTTGCTTCTGTTAGCTTGTGTTGCTGATGGAATGGGTAAGTTTGCTCCTCCAGCATCTGTGTTTGAATTAGGTTTGGCGCTGGGCAAAGCCTGTTTAAGTGGTTTTCTTGCTGCTGGGGCCTCAAAGCACACGGATCTGTGTTAAATATCCGTTGGGCAGCATCGCAGCAGCAGCCAACAATTAGCTGCTTTTTGCACATCCATTGCATTTTTCCTTGAGAATAAAGTGTGCTTGTTTGTGCTTTCAGAATGTTACTTTTTAGTCAGACTTGGATAAAAGCGTGTGCTATTTGTTTTCTGGGGGTTATTTTTCTGCTATTTTTTGTTGCTTATCAGCCCAGGTGGATTGTTTCCTGCAGGGCATCACATGCTAGTTGATGAAGATAAATTGTTTTGCAGCCTTGGTTATTCTTTTGGATTAGAGTTATTGGGAAAGCCTTTCTGGGGACGCTGTCATCTGGGTACAGCAAGTACATGGATTAACCAAGGCTGATCATAATTATCCAGGGCTGAATGTGAAAGGCTACTGCTAACTGCAGTGTGGAAGTGAGAACGCAAGCCTTTTCAAAAGGGAGTTGCTGAAGCTACAAACAGACCGAATATAAGTATGTCTCAGCAGTCCCTGCAGACCTTCTCTCTGGGTTGTGCATCTCAGCTGCTTCTGTCATGCTGCTGTACGTTTCAAAAGAAAAATACGTTTGAGGTTTCTGTTTTCCTGCTGTCAGAAATGGAGTCTGGTAAGCCTTTTTAGCCACCCTATCAGCTGGTTTTGTACCTCTTGGGAGTAGACTGCAGTGAGTCATTGTCTAACACTTGGAGATTTGAGATGATTTGCTTTGATTTCACTCAAGACAACAGTTACAGCACATCTTGCTGGATTGAGATTGCTGCCTGTTAATCACATAAGGGATCCTTTTCTCTGCAGATTGGCATGTCCTTGTGAGATAGAATTGTTTCTCAGGAAGGGTTTGCAGGTGCATTCCTAGAGGAGCCCGTATTTGAGATGGACCTCGTGCCTTACAGAAGGCAGATCTCAATGGCTGTCTGGCATCTTTCTCATCCACCTCTCCTTCCTTTCTTCTGCTTACTTCTTTCAAAGTATGAGCTTCATCCTTGCTTGTGACAACTGTTTTCCTTTCCCTACTGTCTTCTGCTGCTAGGTCTTCAGCTCCTTTATGTTCCTGGGGGCTCAGACTCTGAAATACACCTGCTGAATGATCCTTTATTCCTTTCCGTAGTGTCAGCTCAGGAGGCTACCAGGTGATGCCTCCTTGCCAAAATAGTAGTAGTGTTTAAATGGGAGCACCTCTCTATGCCCAACTATCATCATTTTCAGCTGCTGCCTGTGGCCAGCAGTGCACAAACTGTGAGTGTCCTGAAGCTCAAGGTCCCATCTGAAGCAGATCCCCAAACCATTTCTCTTAGGTGGCTCCTGGTATACTGGTACTGTCTCCTGCTACTGGCAAACTAACCAGAGGCTACTCTGTCCACGTATGCTATTTATAAAAAATGTTTGGCTGATGGTCAGTGCCTTTGTTAGCTGTCCCTTGACCCTTCTGTGCTCTGAAGATGAAGGTCCACGTGCACTGCTGGGTCAGGGCGGATCACTGAGGAGCTGGATGTGCCATTCCTTCTTGGTCCCTGAGGCCCCTTCCATCTGTCTGGAGATGTGTGTGGTGTCCTCCACAAAGCTCCCCCATAGCTTGGTTCACCCAAAAGCATTCATTATGTGAGATTGAAGCTCCTTTTGCTTGCTGTGTGTCTCAGCTGCTCTTCTACCAGGAACTGATGGGCTTTGCAATTCCAGGATTATCTAGAGGAGTACAGGGAGGGTTTCAAGTCGAAGTTTCATGTTGATGATCACAAGCAGGGTTGTTAAATTTTGCTTTGTAAGCACAGCTAACAAGCAATTTGGAGGGGGAAATGTGGAAGAAGTAGTCATTTCCACCCCCTCAGATGTTACTACATAACCAGCTGAATCAGCGTAGCTGAGGGGATGGTACCTCTAGAGGAGTGGGCTCAGGAGGCAGCAGGAAAGTCCAGCAGCTGAGCAACTCCTCACGAATAGGGATGTTCTCCATCCACAGCAGATGTTATCTGTGAGATTCCAACATTCCCTGCCAGAGGAACCTGGCATTGCTTCTGCTGTGCTGAGTGCCAAACCAGTGTGCTCTGACTGCAGGACCCTGACGTGGCTGTGGCAAGGAGCAGCTTGGGAAAGAGGGATTAAGTGGTTTTGTTTTGTTTTGCTTTTTTAAAAAGACGTCAAAACCAGTTGCTACTTTCTGGAAAGCTCACTGTCTGAAGAGGAGCTGTTTACAGAATTCAGCAGTTTGTAAACATTGGGTGTTGCAATAGGAAATCCATGCTGGGAAAACAAGTTGAGCTTCTCTTGCAGTTTGCCAAGTAGCCAGCACTGAGCCATGACTAATGCTCCTGAAAGGCCGAGTCACTTCAGGTTGCTGGTTGTGGTAGAGGAGGGGAGGGCTCTGCTAGGACTCGGTGTAGAACTGCACTGGATTGGAGGTGGCAGAGTCAGGAGAGGTGGTTAGGAGGATGGGGAAACGTGTAGAGGGTCACCAGCAAGCCAGGATGGAAACATTTGACCTGGACGAGTAGAATATCCTCCTCTAATAAGCAAATCTGTGGCAGTTGTGCTGCTGCAAAAGGGAGTTTTGGGCTTTTAATTCTGTTGTGGCCTTTTAGAAAATGCATTTCTGCCTTAAGTACAGGATGGGTTTGGCTCTGTGTATCATGGAAGATCACTCCATAGAAGTGTTTCTCTTCTATGGGATTAGTGGCAGCACCTGGTTCCTACCATTAGGGTACCTTGTTGTTCTGATCAGTCATGAAATAGGGCTTTTAATGCTTTTCATTTTAGAATTCCCCTTCTTGCTGATACAAGCTTATGACATGACCATGCCAGCTCCGTCAGGAGCTAGCTCAGTCAGTTTCTGGCCCTTGGTAACTGATTCCCCTTCCAACATCTGCAGCAGCTGTTGGAAGACGGGAATATTTGCAAGTAATTTGGTTTATGCTCCTGGCAACCCAAAGTTGTAGCTTGCAGCAAAACCTTACCAAGTTGTTTAATACCCTATGGGGAAGGAAAATCCATTTATACTGCTGGTTGATCCCAAGGTTCAAATCTTCATGTCTTTTGGCCATGCTTGTGGCAAAAGTTTTTTTCCTACCTTTTTTTTTCATTCATGTAGCTGGCCAATCTGATCTCCCTTTCCGCCCCCAACTGATGTTGTAGAGATGCCTGTAGCATAGGAGCTACTGTTTGTTTTTTTTTTGTTTTCCCCTATAGTTATTTGGATCCAGGGATCACTATCTAATTTATGTTTTTGAGCAAGTCCTACATCCGGTTGCATCTGCATTCTTGACCAGTGTTATCTGCATCAACAGTCAGATTCCATGGTTAAGTGACTGGACTGTGTGGAAAAATCACTGTAAAAATACTGTAACTTGTTATGCTTAACTGCTTTGTAAACTCCTAACAGTCATTTCCTTTCACTGACTCATTGTTCTTGATCTTTTTTCAGATGAGTTTTTCCATCACCCGTTCTTGGATGCAAGTGCCTCAATGAAGAAATGTAAGTGTCGCATTTCTATTACAACAGTTTTTGAACCATGACGCGTCTTCCTGTGCTGCTAGTTCAAAAGGAAACAAAAAGATTGCTTTGCTTTCTTGGTTATTTGGGTGTGGATTCAGGGTTCATTACCGTGTCGTGTCCAGATTTTGCTATCAAAATGTATTTAATGTTGCCGACATCTTCAAAGGGAGGATTTGGGAGCTATTTAGAAACCTAAATGAGAGGTAAATGTAGCTTTGAAATGCGTTCAGCTGTTCTCTATGAAGTGCTTGGCCAGTGGGGATGCTTGTAGGTAAACAGGATTATGCAGCAAGATCGTGTGTTTTCACCCACATCAGCAGGACAATTCAGGATAGTGAACAGGCAGAAAGAAGCTGACATTCTTGTCACTGCTTGCCAGGTGTGGTTGTACCAAATGGGAAGAACATTTGGTAACTGAAACCCGCCATGTTTACCTCCTAAGTCTTGCAAAATCTTGTTTCAGAAAGATTACTTACTGGTGCTCTGTGAGAACTGTCCAAAACAAAGCCGGATTTCTATTGAGAATTCTTTCCTCTTTTGAATCAAAACTTTTCAAATTTCCAACCACACGTACTGTGATTCAGTTTTGTTTGTGGGAAAACAATTCTGAACTGCTGCCAGTGCATGGGATATGATACTGCTGGCCAAAGGACTCATTTTAGTGGAATTGTATATGATCATCTATTTTCTTCTGGAAAGATCCTCTTGGGCCTTTAATCTCTTAAGTAAGTGATAGTCACTGCTGGAAACCTTGGCTCTGATTTGGGGTGCTGAGCGCAAGGGCTGGAGGTTTCAGAGGAAACATGCCCGGTGCTTTCTGAACACGGAGCCACTCTTGGACATGTGGCACAGTGGACGCCCCTGGAGGGAAGAGCAGGACTTCTCAGTTGTTTCTGATACAGATTTCTAACTGTGTATGTAGGTGACCGTCCTGCGGGCAAGAAAAGATGGTTCTGGTTTAGGGGAGCTGGCAAAGCAGCAAGATGTGGTGTGAGTCCTGTGAAGCGGGACTCCTCTGCAGGCAGGAAAGGACTCCGCCTGTTCAGGACTGCTCCGAAGCCAGCTCAGCACTCAGCACCTGCTGTACCGCTGCGGTGTGAGAAAAGGCCTTCGGAGTCTGATCCCCCTGCGGGCAGGGAAGGGCTCCCACGGCTCTGCCCTGCATGCCAACCAGCTCCTCTCTTACCTCCAGCTGCTCAATTGCTTCATTGGCCAGAGGAACAGGAAACCCCCTGCAAACATGAAAGGATTCTGCTGGCTTGGCCTCAGTTTCCGACTTCTGCACGCTTGCTGTGCAGAAACCAGAGGCACTGTTACGAGCCACGGTTTCTGGCTCAGCCTTTGCCCCCATCTGCACCAAAGTTGGTGTGTGGTCAAGGCCCGGTTAAGAGGGCCCCTGTACAGGCAGGTAGGGACTGTCCCAACTCCAGACCTCTCTGCTGCCCTGCTGGCCCCTGCCTCCAGGTCTGTGTTCCCAGCCTGGAGTCCTCTCCAAGCAGGAGAGACTACTACTGGTTTTAAAAAGATGAGGGGAGCAATACCTCTGTGTTGCTGGAAGTCTCCAAGATGTTGTGCACTGGTAGAAGCCTGCTGCTGGAGGAGATCGTTCTGGAAGTCTGCTGCGGAGGCACCAGCAGCTGGCTGGCTGGCTGGATGGATCGCTGGATGGAGGCCTCTGGGAAGTGCAGGGAAGAGCCTGGATGAGAGGCTGCATGTGGAAGTAGTGGTCCTGTTGACTTCTGAACACACGAGAGAGAACCCGTGTGTCAGCAAACATCTGGGTTGTGGTGGTCTCAAGAAAAACTCAGCTGTACATGGCACTGCTTAACACGGGAGGGGGATTAATATTTGCCCAGGTCTAGGTGACCAAACACAGTCAGAGGTGCTCAGGGGCTAGCCCCCTGGCTTTGTGTGCAGAACTAAAACAAGTCCAGAAGCTTGTGCTGCTTCACATAAACGTGTGGCACAGCATCACAAGTGTGGGAAGCATCAAAGAAGATGAGATGGCTGCATTTGAATCCTGATGGTCATGCTCAGATTGGATTGCACAGTGGAGAACTGGGAGGAGGAACAGCCCGCTCTGGTGTTCTCATTCTTCCTGAGAACTGATAATCGTGCTACCACTGACTTCAGTGGAAGCACAAGTAGGTTGTGCAGATTGGAGCGTGCAAGTTTCCCTTAGAGTCTGCATAATCTGCACAAGCATCTGTGTTAGGAACAATACGGTTGCATGATGAACGCACCGAGACTTCAGCTATGCTCAGGGACCCAGTGTGCAGCCTGAAGGGGCTTATGGCCCAGGGACGCCTGTGCTGCAGATGCAGATAACTGCATGTGTTTAGGTCCCAAACCAGTTTTAACGTGAGCTGCTCACTTTCTATCTGAGGACTCCTGGAGTCTGAACTGAGCGTGGTGGCCTCTGGCCCTGCAGGCAGATCTGCCCTCAGGCAGAGGGGCGAACAGGAGAGTTGCCACCAGTGCACAGAGCTGAGGACATCACCTGAGCTTCCAAACCCTGCCAAGGCTTGGTCCAGACCAGGTCAAAACTCAGCGATTAAAAATGAAGAGCTCTCAGGTATTTGTTCTGTTGGGATCCGTGTTAGTCTACCACCTCCCGAAATCATACAGATTTCTTCTAGTGCAAGAAAATTTTGCATTTCATAATGCTATGTAAAAGTTCCATGGTATTCCCAAGTGGATAATTTTGAAGTTGCCAAGGCTACCTCATTTCAATAAATTTTCATATTTCTCAAGATGCTTCATCAAAATCAACATTTCTGTCAAAAATCTTCCAATATGACTTCTCTGACAAATTCATCCTCTCCTGAGATTTCGAGGGATGGTTGTTCTTTCACTCCTTTAGTGAAAGAAGGACCAAAATCTTCTGATAGCCAGTGCTGACCACAAAGCTCTGATTGCCACAGGCTTTAGCTTGAAGAATGGGTTCAAGGCCTTGGGTTTTAAGTAAACCATGCACTTTAGTTTCTGTTTCTTTATTTATATTTTATTATGGGTTTTGTACATGTGACTAATGTGCTATAGATGTGTAAAATTTTGTTAATAAAGTCTTTAAAATACCCTGTCTAGCCAGGATGTCGTCTGTCTCTAGCCAGGACTCTGATCGCCACGTGGGATGGGGCAGTGCGTTACAGTAATAACACAGGAGGAGGCATAATTAGATGCTTGTGCAAGTCTTCTCTCCGTAAACACGTTGTAATTGGTACCCGTGCAGAGTATTTTGGAGTTCTTTTGCTCCTGTCTTTAATGAATGCAAGCTGGTACCTCCTTTGCTCTGACTTAAGAGAGTTTAAACATGAGCAGTTGTGGTTCAGCAGTGCACGAGGTGATGCTGCTGGGATGGTTCAGGTGTCTAGAAGATGTCTGGCTTATTTTTTTTCCATCTTTATAAACTTAGTGCACATAAAATACCCAGGTAGAAACTAGCAAAAATCATCATGACTTGTGCAGATGAAAGATTTTAATGGTAAGACATTTTTTTCTTTTAACTCTATAAACAAATTTATTCTTCAGGTAAGTCCCTTGTTTTTGCACTCAAACTACTGCCTTGCCAGAGACTGCAGTCAAATAACTTCTTGATGATTGGTTTTGATTACACCCAGATAATAACAAAAATGCATCTCTTCAATGCGTGTAAAACTCAGATTCCAAATAAAGCTTCCACAAAGCCTGAGGCTCGGTTATTTTTAGGACAGCCCAGCCCCTTGTAGGATGATTTGTCAGCAGTGATTTTTGCAGGTGTAGGATCCAGGATCAAGATCCACACAGCTGGAGCACAGGCTTCCCTCTGCAGCTCGTAGCTCTCCCATTTGAAACCAGTTGACTTTGGTTATGCAACATCCACTCTGTTTTGTTGCTGGAACAAGTTGGAGAGGACAATTACGAGAAGAGACTTATTTACATTACAATTACAATCCAGCAATTTTTGGATTTGGGTGGGGGCCTACAATTCACATTAATATTCCCCACGTTCAGACTTGAGCTGAAAACACGATGAGCCAAGTGTTTGCACCCTTTTTAATTTTGAACTGGGAGTGCCTGGGCGTGTGGAGGAGATGGAAGCGAGCATCGAGCTTCCAACCCTTCCTGGGTGCCTGGCAGGGAAAAATGCACTGACAGGCCTGTGGGAGCCAGGGCTCTACTTGCATGGGCTGAAAGTTCATTTTTAGCATCGGGAGCTTTTGTGTTGGGCCTCACAGTATTACAGAGTGGATTTGGGGAGTTTGGGTTTTAAGGAAGAACATGATTAAAGATGCTGTATCTAAAGGTTGTGCTTCATGCAGATAGAATTTTAATCTGGGTTTCAGCTGGTAGCAGAGAAGCCTGTCTGCTTCTCTTCCTTTGGAGATTAGTGGAAAGCTGGCCAAAGCAAATAGACAGAAATAGAAAAGTCTCAATTGCAGCCAGGTTTAAATCAATAATAAACACGAAACCAAAATAGTGTGGAAGGGACCTTGAGAGAGCCCTGAAATGACTCTAATGAAAATACTAATTCCAGGAAAAATGAACCGTGGCACAAGTTTTGCAGCACGTCCATGTGGATATAGTTCAAAAATCACTTACCTTTTCCTAAAAGAGCCTTTATTTAATGGGGAGGGCTGTCTGCACAAGGGTCAGTTGATCTGTAGGAGCTGGCAAGATAATGGGGGAAACGTCCCCCCTGGTTTCTGGGAGTTGTGTAGGGAAGGCAGTAGGGGTTTCTCTGCAGGAGTCTCTCTGGGACCAGAAGCAGCGTGTTAGAGGCAGGACGGGGCTCTCCGTCTTGCAGGCGAGGTCTCAGCCCTCTGTGTGTGTTCCCTGAGCGTGGGGAGCACGCACCAGCTGTGTGGGAAGCCCAGTGAGCTGGAAGAGGATGCTGGCTGTGGGCGATGTGGCTCTCCATGCCAAGTCCTTGACCGACCTCCCACAACGTCCTTCTGTAGGGTGCCACGGTGCTCGTTCCTGTGCTGGGCCCGGTGTGCTGTAACTGCAGGGCCCATTTTGGGGACAAACCCACTACAGCATAGATGCAGGACGTAACAATAAAGTAGCCTCTAACAAAGCTTTGCACAGATTTTTTTTCATTATAGACCTAAGCTCTAAAGCTGCAGTGGGGTGAGCACTGCCCGGATGTTCTGCCACAAGCCGGGAAGGCACCGCGTGTGTGCGTGCTCATGTGGCACTGCAGCCGCCCCAGCAGTCCTCGTGGGACTTCTGCAGGAGGGCCCATGCTCTGCTGAATCGCCCCCTTTGTAGGATAGCCTAACCTCTGCTGTCACCCAGTTACACTGTTCCAGGTTTCAGCCTGTGCTGCTTTGGCTTGGTCTTTCTGTTGCTGGGTCTGGTTGCGTCCCTGGCAGAGTGAGGAGTTCAGCAGCCGGGTGATCGCTCTGCTTGTGCTGGGACACGCTCAGCTACTCATCCTTTAACTCCTTTGATAGGCTAAACGTTTTAAAGCCTTTTATTAAAAGGCATATTTTCCCATTCTTTTATCATTAAAACACTGTTTCAACTGTTAATTGCAGAGAGATGTACTTTTATTTTTCTAGCCAGTTGAGTGGAGTAAGTGTGCTGTAGCAGCCAGTGCAGTTAATGACAGGAGTAGGTTTACTTCAAACAGAAGTGTTCTTTGAGGTGTTATTACTCCTCCTTGCATTAAGCAGGGAGTCATTAACACAGGTCCTGTAAAGGTAGAAATTGATACAAGATGCTGATTTTCTGGCAGCACAATGGAAGAGGAGCAAAGCAAAATGTTCTTCTCACTTCATCGTCACCTCTGATCTCTGTCTAAAGTCATTCAAATACCGAAGTGGTTGCAAAGTGAAATCTGATTTTAAGTAGCCTAGCAAGGATGTTGGGACTCTCTTGCATCTTTGTACCACGTAGTCTGGTGCTGGGGCACTGGCAAGTTTGAAGCACTCAAAGTTTCAAAGCCCGCTGAGGAGTCGCTGTTACCTTTGACTCATCTCCCTTCTGAGCTGAGCTCTCCCGAGCAATTTACTGAACCTCACTTGCACGAGTCGTTGGAGTTGAATGTTCTTTGCTCTTGTGATGCCTTGATCATCTCTTCTGCCTGAAGGTCGATGCTGACTTGTCCTTGCAGCGTGAGCTGTGTGCCTCTCTCAGGATTACAGGAGAAACAGTTCGGTAATGAAGTAAATAAAGCGAACGGTTCTGATACGGAACAATGAAACGCCAAGAGAAGGGCTGCAGGAACAGCCAGCGCTCTGGAACAACTTCTGCACGAAGAGATTAAATAAGCAGAAGCTCTTTAACTTGCAGAAGGTGTCACCGAGGAAGAATGAGCTGAGGAATAAGAAGCAATGGACTGTTTCCTTGTGGAATGATTACATCTGTGGGGTTTTATAGTACGTGGCCTGGGATGCCTGAATGCCTTTTGGGGGGGCGGCAAGCACAAAGCGAAAATGAGAAGTTACCTTTTCATAGCAAAGAGATTTGTGTCCGCAGGATGTCTCGGATATTGAGTGTGTTCTGGGAGTCATGAGGCGAACTGAGGAGCACAACTCTGCGAGGGCTTTACGAAGGGCTGCTGCAAAGGAAGGCCCGGAGCTCCCAGCCTGCAAATGCCGAATGCTCTCTGGGCCAGGACCCTTTGGTTTGCCCTCCCTTCTCACCCAGTGCGGTCGCTCTGTCAGAGTGTGCGTTTCTCCTCCCCACAGAGACTTGATAAACGTGCAGTGATTGTATCTTAACCGAGTTCATAATGTTTTCGTGTGGAGTAATGCCTCTTGATTGAAGAGGTTAATGGGCCTGTGTTGGCTTGAGCAGATGTGGTTTACATAGTAGAGCTCCCAGCATGTGGGGTAGGTGCTCTGAGCCACAAGGGCTGATAAAGAAGAAACTGTGAGGGTGTGGCAGCAGTCTAGCTCCTAACTTGTGTCACTGGCCTGAGTAACTCAGTCCGTTTTTCTGCATAACTTTCCCTTCATTTACCAAGGTGCTTTGTAGGCTCTCCAGGGCAGAAACCATCCTGATGCCTGTATAGGTCAGCCGTAGGGTAGACCCCCGATCTCGGTTGGATATTCTGCATCCACCCTAAGAGCTGTAACTGAAATAGCGTGGGGAGGAGGGGCTGGATGAAAATCTTGCAGCTGAACAGCATGCTAATTTTTCTGCTGTTCTCCTTTACTTGGCAGCATCTGATACATGAAGTAAACCTGATGTGAAACAATGAAAAAGACCTTCTTTTATTGACTCATCTCAGGTTGACAACTAATCTATGTTATGTTTTTTTCTCCCTCTCCTTGTTTTTAGCTGCTTCTGTGCCAATGCCTTCTTATCCCAGTTCAGGCTCCGGTAGTTCCTCCAGCAGCTCTTCTACTTCCCACCTGGCATCACCTCCTGTAAGTACAGCTCCGAGGATGCACTGCTTATGTTAGTGGTCTCTCTGCTTGCTTCTCTGAAGTACAGCCTTGCTTTTGCTGTCATCTGCTGCAAGTTACTGAACACTGTAGTTCTGCCTGTGCTTGGTGCAGTGTCCTTCCCAGTCTGCTCAGAGTTTGGGTTCTGAAGGTTGTCTTTCTCTCCAAGAAATACTTCAATTTGTCGTTGTCTATTACGTGAAAAGCCTTTGTGAAAGGAGTTGGTGTTAATGCTAGCTTGTGCTGGGAGAGGCAGAAAGCTCCTTGGAACCAAAAATAATAATAATAAAACAACGATCCAAAAACTGGCCACTAATTCAGGGCATAGTAATGCTTATTTGGCTAGAGGCTCTCTGTTCTCAAGCGAAGTCTCTGCAGCTTGACAGCAGATCCACCCTTTTTTTGAAAGGTGAGCCTCCTCCTTCCTGACCAGCAATCCCAGGCACCACAGAGAGACATTCAGCAGAGCTGTGTGCCCAGACCAGGCCTGCCACAGTCTGGTGGTCTTGTGAGAGCTGATCTGAACTGATGGTTTTTCTCTCTGGTTACCTTAAATGATGAAAACTTTCCTGGAGGGCAGAATATCAACTGACTAGTGAAGTGACATTCCTCTAGCTCACTGAACTGAAAGCTTGTTTTCGGAGGCTCTTGGTGAAAGCTGCCTTTTGACTTTGAACTGAGGAATGCTGGTGGTGTGATGGGAAAGGGAGAAAGATTGAATTTTCTTTTCTTGTCCCTGGCATTGCTGCTTTTTTGCTTTTTTCTCTGAGGTTTCCCTGGGCCAAGGCTTCTCAGCCTCTTCCAGGAAGTGCCATGACTGAATCTTTCTCTCCATGTTTTCACATGGAAGATATTGCACCTGCTGTGAGGAGCTGGTGTGGGAAAGCTTGAGGGGCACTATCTACAGTTGATCTGGGTGCTCATGGTATGGACTGGACGGAGAGGAGAGGTCGATTCTGCTCTGAATGGCACATAATTGGATTCCTGACTGTATTTTTCCCCCTGCAACCCTAGGTAGAAGGGTGGTTGGCTGGGGTGCTTCTTGGCCATAAGACTCCAGGAATGGGTAGCTGGTATGAAAAATAGACTCTCTCCACTTGAGCTCAGGGAAGCTCGAGGGTGGTGCGGACTTTGGGATCTCCATGTGAGAAGGGCACTGCACCAGTCCTGGTCTGCGTTTGGAAGTTTTGTGGACAGAGTTATACTGGCTCAGCACGTGAAAAACGCCACATCTGCAGGGCAGAGCCAGCATTGCTATGTGGAAAAGAGACGGCTTTGACAGCTGGGAAAGTCCTGCTTGCATGCATTGCACGTGCAGCGAGTCAGTCCCTGTAGATACAGCAGGGGAGTGGACAAGGCTTTATTAGGGCCCAAGTGCAAGCTGATTCTGATCTTTTTCAGCCCAAAAGTGCACTAGAATGAAGATTGTCTTATGATCTGCACAGTGGGCAATTGAGATGTCTTACAACTTTCTAAAACCATCTAGCCTCCATCTATCTGTAAAAGGATTGTGGGACTATCCCTCATTTCGCTGAAAGAGAAAAAATGGAACTCTTTTGGGGCCTGTCATGCCTCTGACAGCTCTGAGGTGTTTATCTCTTGGATGCTTTGTCTTCTTTAGACCTCTCTAACTCCTCATCAGCATTACAGCAAAACAGATTTGTCGGAAAAATGCTGAGACACTTACATACCTGTTCCTGAGTGCTTACTGCAAGGATGTGAGAAGAGACTAAAGGTGTAATGTTCAAAAACAAAAAACACGGAACAACCAAAAACTTGCTGAAGGCTCTTTTTTCTTTTTCTTGGCCTTACAAACTGAGCTGGTAGCAAATGCATGCTTGATCCAGAAAGCCTCAGGAGTGGCAGAGTGGTGTGATACCTTAAGTGATTTTTTTCTTATCCGAGGAACATCAGACATGCTAATACTATGGTTTTTTGTAACAAAAGGTGCACGGTTCTGACATGGGCATAAAAGACTGTTCCTTCTCAGTAAACTGAACAGCTGCCCCTGGCAAACTATCAGCCCTGCTTTATGAGCAAAATGTTGTCTGTAGCCTTGTACGGCTCGATTTAAAGGATCCAGCAGAATGAAGAAGTAGCTGTACTGAAGCCAGTATTTGTTTTCTTCTTGAATTAGCAGTCCCTTGGAGAGATGCAGCAGCAGCTGCAAGAGAAGACGCTGGCATCTCCTACCCAGGATTCCCCCGGTTTTCTGCATGGATCGAAGGACTCTGCTGGAAGCAGCAGTAAGAATTCATCCTGTGACACAGATGACTTCGTTATGGTCCCAGCACAGTTCTCAAGTAAGTTGGTTTCTGGAAATGCAGACGTTCTGAGGAGAGGGGGGATGTGGATGTTAAGGGTGGTTAATACACAGTTGAAACAGTGATTAAACTTGCCTGCTTTGGCTGAGTAACAGGAGAGTTGTAGTTCTCACACTGTAAGAGATTTCTGTCTCCCTGGTTAGCTTCATAGGATATTTTGTAATTATCTTCAAAGATAGGATTTGAGAGTAAAGGTTATTTGGGGAATTCAGTAAGAGACTGAAACTGGAAATCCAACTGGAAAAGAAGATAAGTAGGCTCACAGGGAAATGTCTTCCTCTCCCAGAATATGCTCCCATATCATCATACCTTCAGTTTCACTTTGCAGCACAGATTTCACTTTGCAGCACAGCATTCCTGCTAGCAAGGTGATTTTATATATGAAAAATACCTAAGGAAAAAAATAAAAACTGTTGGATTTTTCTTGAAGTACATGTATCTTTGAATTTCACATTAGTACCTCTGCGTATTTATACTTTGATAAGAATTGCATGAAATATATATGTTCACAGGGTCCAGGGCTCCAGTTCAGGCACACACCTAAGTATGTTCATGCATTAGTACTTAGCCAGCAGAAGGATATTGTTCAATCTCAGCCATGTGTGTGAGGATTTGCTGAGTTAGGACTAGTGATAAATGCTTTGATTCCTCCTTCCACAGTTGCACTGCTTTTATTAAGAGAGGGATTTAGAAGGGTTGAACTGTGACAGGCAGGTCTCTGCTGTGTAATCCTCACATAAGGAAGAGCTCAATGTTGTTTTTATTCTTCCTGGGAGCAGCAATGGGACCAATGTACATATGCTTAGTTCTAGCCACATTTCCAGTTGAAACTGAAATTTCCTCCAATTGAGGAATTGATCTCAAATTAATGTTTCTTCACTTCCTTATTCCTTAGGTGATATGACTGCTGAGGCTGCAGGAGGGAAACCAATCCAAGACAGCCTGATGTACAGTGGGTAAGAGCACCCAGGCAACTGCAAATGAGGCCATTGGAGCATACTGCGCACTAGGGACTTTCTGGGTTCTGGTGAATGGAGGAAGGATGTTGCTGAGTTAGCTTTCATGACAGGGATGACTGTCACCTGCCTGGTTCTGACCATTTTCAGTTTCCACTGTCAGGTCTGAGTCAGAAATAAAGCTGTAGGACTGTGTATTCCAGCATTTGGAAACAACTTGGAAGAAAGCTTTCTGCTCTAGTTATGTTTGTAACACACTAATGCCAGCAAACAGCCCTTCTGCATCACCCTTGTTTTTGTAAAGAAACTTGTATGAAAAGATGGTGTTCTTTGTTACTTCATCTGTCTTCATTCACTCCTGTCAAATTCATGATTAGAAGACTAGCCATTGAGACAAATGTCAGTGATGCTTTTCTAGGTTCTTGGGGTTAGGAAGAGTTGCACTAACAAGATATAAGGATTGCATAAGAACTAGAACGTGTGTATGCTGATGTGAACACACAGCTTCTAGAGTTGATATTCATTTATGCTTGGCTTCCTCATCCCTCAGGACTAAACTGCATTTCATTTGCTTAAAGGCTTTTACACCAGGTTAAAACGGCATGGGAGAAATGCCTGTTGGTACTCTAACACTGCCAGACAATCAGCATGTGGTGCCTGAATACCGGAGTGTAGGTGGGGCAGCATGACAGCTCCAGGGCTGCTATGACTGGACTCAGCAGAGGGTGCGGGACAGGCACAGCTCTGTTCTGTGCTCTGCAGCGGGGAGCAGAGTTATTTCACAGACTCTAACACCTGGGTTCTGTCTGCCATTTTTTCAGGAGTTCTCTGCTGACTTCAGCAGGCTTGGAAAGCCAGGGAAGGACACCATCTCCTTCTCCCCCTTACAGCAGTTCTCCTAGCCCCTCCAGGTAAGAAGGACTGTTTTGTGGTGATTGTGCAACTTTGATTAATTAAATTCCCATTGACTTCCAGGATAGAATTTTAAGAGATGTTGGTGTGCTGAGCAAGATCCACATCTCTCTTTTAATTAAAGGGTAACAAAAAACACCCAGGAGAAACTCCCCAGCCCTGGGCACTGATCCATCCCAAATATAGAGCCTGTCTCTCCCACCACTGGCCCTCAGAAGGGGCTAAGAGAGAATGCAGTAGAACTGGAATTAACTCTGTTCCCTGGGGGCAGGTATTATTCTCAAGCAGAGAGTTAGTCTACTCCACTGTATGTATGTGCTACTCATCCCCTCCGTGCTCAGCCTGCAGAGGCAGTGAGTTATTCCAGCTGAAGACCCTTGCCTTTAAATTCACACAGTGAATTAGAGCACAATGCGTTAGCAAAGGCTGAAACTACTGTGGGCTTGAATTACTGGACAAAGGATAGGAGGACAAGTGTGGAGGGGTGTTGCTCATCTCCCCTTGCTGTTGAAGGACAGACACCTGGGCTTACTCAATTGTCTGCAGTTTCCTTGAAGCTCCAAGCAGCTCACTGCTCTACGTCTGTATAAAGTAATGCTGCTACACACGGCCCTTAGAGAGGATGCATGAGTAAGCATAACAGGCACAAACAGGTGTGGTCACAGGTTTAGTTCCAACTGAACCAGTTGTTTTCAACTCAGTTTTGGCCTTTAGAATTGTGGTAGGTGAGAGCTGCCCACACACAACAGCACCAACTGCCCAGCATCGCCAGCAGGTCCAGATGCATTTTTCTTCAGAAGCTGTTAATGGTCAGTGGAAAGTAATCCTATAAACTTTAGAGCTTGAAGCTTTCGGGTTCGTGCTTAGCTTACAGGGAGCTGACAGGTTTGCTTCTCACCTCACTCGTGCCTGCTGGGAAGGCAGGACAGCTTTAATCTTCTCTTCTGTCAATATGGCACATGTTAGGTGAGGGGAGTTCACACTGGGGGAGGGATGACCCTAAAATCTTTAAGAAGAAAATGTAGTCCCAGTCTGTGTTGAACACACTTGTCACATAAACAGAGCCCAGAAAATGACAAAACATAGCCTGAAAGCATATAAATGTAAAGGAGAAGAATATAGCTCAAAGCCTTGCTGACGTGATCAGATTAATTGGCAGGCACGTACCACAGTGTGCAGTATAATTGCATGAGGCTTCTTATGCCATTGCCTGCTAAGCTTTTTAACAGCTTATTCTGAATAAACTGATTCCTTTGCATTCTGGGGATCAGTCTTTATTAAAGGATTTGGCCTTGTTTCTGGACAGCAGTGAGTAGAAATTCATGGAAGTTCACTTCAAATGCTGCCTACTGTTCGCTGCTCTCTTCTCTTCATCATATTGTAGTGGATCATAAGGCAGAAAGGCACTGCCGGTGGCTATGATCTAAACCTCTTGCTGCTCTTGCTGTCTTTCCTGCTCATTCCTGCAGCTTCTGTGGAGCAGATTCCACACCCTCTGCAGCTACTTCCCACTTTTATATCTGCTTTAAAGAAACATTGAAAAGTTACTTCCTAACCTGTCCAGGATGGGAAACAAAACATAGATAATAAAATGCTGGGGCAGTCACTCCAAATCTGGAGTGCAAAACATGATCTTTGATCTGTCCATCAGAAGTATTGTTAACACAAGTTTCAGTGCTCTTCTCTGTAGATTTCCTGAGGCCCATTGGTTCAGCACTCGGCTTCACTGGTGCAAAGAATGCTTGATTTTCTTTTCCTCTGTCTTTTCTTGCTAGAAGGCAGCAGTTTGCCCTTTCGTGTGTGGCTCTAGGCTAGTAAGCAATGCTTGGATGTGGCCCAACTGGGACAGAAAGCAAAAGCTATTTTAGTGGCCAGCAGTGGGTTTTCCTCAGGATGTCACGATACACTCTAGAGCAGCTCTTCTCGTTGTTAACTAAAAGGCGAAGATTAGGCTGAACTGAAATACACTGACAGTTGAGGGCTGGTATTTTTTTTAATACTTCCTTGTTGAAAATGTTTAATAATTCTAACGAACGGTACTTCCTTGTATATATCCCACGCTAATGGATTTCATGCAATTTTTGAAGAGCTCTTAATTACTCTCAAGTAATTAAATTCCCTGTCCCAGGTTTATCTCTTTGTCTTTGCAAATTTATTGTCCCTTGTAGTCTTCAAGGCTTGAGGCCAATTAGCAGATTTAGTATATGTCAGCTGGGCACTTTCTTTTGCAACTCGTACCTTGTGTAGGACACCTGGCTCCTATAAGGACTCATGTAAATCCTGGGGAGAGGGAGAGACTTTTCACCCAGGAAATCTTTTCCCTTAAAGGATTTTGGCCAGATTGAAGAGAGAGCGTTTGAAATTTATGTTGGAAGTCAGGATGTGTGTGAAGTCTGACGTCAGCCCTCAGATTTGTTGGTTAAAGCTTGTTTGCTTTATGTCTGTCTGACACAGTGTCATGTACTGATGGAAGGCAGAGACACCAAAACCCTCACCTTTCCACTGAGCAATAAGAAACCTTGAATGCCTTTATTTTACTATATGCTAGTGAAAAATCAAGGATTAAGTGATGCCTTTTAGAGGCAGACTGAGAGTCTGTTGGTGAAGTCTTTCTGGTGGGAGAGATAAGAACACGAAAGGAAGAATATGTAGAATTTAAATGAATAAAAATAATAGAAAAAAATAGATATGTTAAGAGAGGAAGAGAGAAATTAGAATCACATTTTGATCTTTCAGCCTTTATTAGTTCATTAGTTCTTTTGTGAATGAGGAGTGTCTTCATGTGCACAGTGTGGAGAACTGCAGATCAGCTTTGTTGAACGCTGTCACCATAAACCACAAAGTTCTGCTGACCTTCCCCAAAAAAGAAATTTTGGTGATGGGATATTTTGAACTGCCAAATAAGACACAGCCTGTGCCCTATGCACACTCCTGCTGAATTAAACGTCTTTCTTCACCTTACGAAAAACACTTCCTCTCTGAGTGTTAGACCCGAAGAAGCAATACTTCCTGCTTCAAGGGTTCAAGCCAAGGTGTGTGTCCTACACTGACAGCAAGGAAGACTGCAGAAGCCTTCATTACCAATAAGGTCTTTCTGTAATTGTGCAGCCTCCCTGCAATTGATGTTGGCAGCTGTAAATAACTGCACCGTGGCAATTAATCCAAGAATTCTGGAGCCTTTGGGAAAAGACTTCAGGCAGCTACTTAGTTAAATGTGGTGTTTGCATGGGTTTTGTATAGCATGGGTTTTGCTGAGTGGTGCATACAGGCTAAGAACAGGGAGACTGTCACCTGGGGGAACAGATATCAGATGTGAGCTGATTTACCTGCATAGAGCTGATTCACCAGATGGAACGGGAAAGTCTGAGATTTGCAGAATGGGCCTGTCCCATTTTGTGTGCGTGATATTCTTCCTGACCTTGATGGGCATACCGATACCAGCTCCTGTCCCTGATTTTATTCTCTCCCGAGCTGCCTTCTCCACGCTGTAGTTAACTTGCAAATCCTCTGAAGTACACCAGAAGTGTGTGTTCTCTTCGTGGTGTGCTGAGGCTTTGACGGAGGTGCCACTGGTGCAGCAGTGTCTCTGCATGAATTGCAGATAGCTCTTGGCAGCAAAACCTTGCTGGTGTCCTGTGTGAGCCACAAGCGTTTAGCCTTTGTTTGGTGATGTGCTCTTTGGCTGGGGATCTGAGTCTGTTGGAAACTGGGCCAGTTGTGGCATGAACCAGCAGGGCTCCAGTTTTCCTGGAGGGAGTGGTGCTAGGGTGTGTGTTTTGGCTTCAGCCTGTGGGTGGGAAGTGTGCTGGAAGAAAGGTGCCTGCTCTCAGGAGATGTGTGCTGCCACTTCCCTTTCGCATGGCTTTGAACTGCCAGCCCGTACAAACCCGCAGCCTGAGAGCAGTGAAGGGGGCGCTCCCTGCGTGAGGCTGCTTGGGGAAGATATCTCCAGGTACCTGGCTGAAGGCCCACCCCTGATGCAAGGCTTTGTCTCCTTTCCACAGCCGGCCGGGGCAGTTTTCCAGCAGCAAGTACGGACACTCCGTGCCCATTCCGGTCCCGACACAGATCCATAACTACCGGCGGATCGAGCAGAACCTGCAGTCTCCCCACCAATACGCCTCTCCTCGGTAAGTGCTGGGGCTGGGAGGAGGGGGTCACAGCGTGTTACACCGCATTACATCTTGGGGGGCCTTTTACAGTAGGTTCTCTCTATCTCTAAAAGTTTTCTTGAGTGGTGGGCCTTTCCCCTTGCTGTAGGGAGCCAAGGCAGGCTATGTTTTGTTGTAACATTTAGCTTTGGAGTATTTCTGTAGTGATGTTGAAACTTATTTGTTACCAGGTACTGTACATTTTGTCAGCATGTGTGTATGCGGGATAGCTCCCATCAACTTTCTGGGTAGGCTGGGCGTTTTGGGGTCTGCCAGATACGGCTTGGTGGGCCAAGCAGAGACAATCATCCATTTGGCACTTGCCTCTATGAAAGGAAAACGTTGAGATAAATGACTGAAATGGATAGGGATGCAAAACTTACCTGGCTTTACTAATCAGTTCCTGTAGCTAGTCACACCATAGATGTTTATTACCCGAGTTCCATACTAATGTGGTTATGCATCCTGATGAAGTCACGGGTAATTCCTGCCTGTGAGGCAGAGCATGCCTTCTGAGGGCCGTCAGGAAGAGCCGGATGCCAGCCTCCAGCTGCGTGCAGCTGCCTTCCTCAGCTTGGTGGTGATGTCTTCTACCTCCAAAAAACACCAAGCTTCTGTTCCTTGACACGTGTAATTTATGGCTCCTACAGTTTCGAGATCTGGATTAACGGTGGCAGCCCAGGTTGTAGAAGGAGGAGCGTACAGGATCGTAAAGAGAGTTTGTACAGCAAGGGCAGAGAACATTCCAAGTATCTGGATTGCTTAAAGTTTAGTTTTCAGAAGTAGGGTAATGCCTGTGTCAGCCTGAGTTTGGGCTTCTTACCAGCTTAATTAAGGATAAGGCTTACTCAGAGTGGACCCAGAATTGGAGACACAGTGTTGATATTAGCCACGGATCAGCGAAGAGATTTGTTTTGTGCCAGTGTTAGTTTAATACTATTCTATGCTCAGTTCTTTGAATGCATGACAGGTTTGGTGGTAAGCTCCTTCCAGTTTCCTACATGCCCTATATTTCTTACAGCAGTATTTGTGCACCCTGTTAGTGCTGAACCTAACAAAAGAGACCCAGCCCTCCATGTGGTGTATAAAAAGCTCTGGAGAACGTGCAGAGGCTGCACCAGGCACAGTGACAGGCTGCTGAGTTCGGGCTCGCAGCCTGCGGATACCAGGATCAAACTGTCATGTTTTGCTCCTTTTAGTCAGCGCTCTGTAATGATGAGATTAGCATCGTCCCTGCAGAGGAACTCGAGGAATGGAACCAATCAGATGATTCACGCTCTGCTTTTAGCATCATCACAAAATCTCTGGCGTCATGTTTTGTCTCCTGCCCCAGGAAGCCATATTTATCTCTCATCATCACTTCCTCTAATCAGCAGAATTGATTAGACACGCTTCAGGAATGGAAGGAGAAAACTTCATCAAGCGTTTTGTGTGTGATTCCACTTTTCCATCAGCTGTATCAAATAGGCCATTACAGCCAAATGCCTCATCACGGCTGGCACGTAGCCTGACTAAGAGCTTTGACACACGCTCTGTTTTGCAGTATCGACTGCTGTCATCTGACTGGCTGGTGGTGCCGGTATAGCACAGCTTGTTTGTGGGTAGATATCTCGTGTGGTGAGGTGGTGATTATGTGTGCTTGCTTTTGGCCACATCACCTGTCCTGCTCGTCTGCTCCTTGCCTATGCCATGTCTCGTAGGGTGGTGGTTGACATTCCACACCTTTCAGCAGCTGCAGTCAGCTCCTGGTTTTTCCTGCAAGCTCACAATAAATAACAATTAGTCTTCTGGATGGCTGATGTTCTGAAGAGTTAAAAATTTGGCAGAGCAATGCTTTCTTTCTGTCACTAGGTGTCTTTTTACTGTGTCAGGGGTGTTTTCTTTTTGTACATTAGTTTTGCCTTTGGGCCAAGCACTTAGTGAGCGGTAGGTTTCTCAGTTGGGAGCAACATGAGCGGAAGTGATTTTTAGGTTAAAACTTTAAATGATTTCTTTTTTTTTTTCCCTAGCCTGTGAATGTAGCGTGGATTAATTTGACAGAAAAACATATTGGGGTGGTGTTGAGGAGGGAGAAGGGAAAAAAAATCAAACTCATATCTCAATTACTGATTTTTTTTTTCTGAAGCATGGGATCAAGTAATGCCATATGCCTGGTAGTGTTGTTGAACAGACATACTGCCACTTCATCAGGATGGGTTTGCCTGTAATGCAGTTAGCCCTGCTTGTACTGCCGAAACCTTTATGGCTTTGTTCCTTCTGTTCAGATATGCACGGACAGATTAATAGTGCGTTGCTGGGAGAGGAGGCAGGATACCTTGGTGACAGCATCTTGCAGTGGCTTGCACACGTTTTTTTCAGCATATTCATTGATTTTTGTCTAGAAAACCACCCACTGGCTGAGAATAATGTTCTTTCAACAATGGAAAAGATGTTTCCAAATCAAGAGTAGATCTGATAAAAAAATTGTTTTCTCACATAAAGGAGTGCAGTGGGATCTTGGTGAAGGAGCCTGCAGAGGCAGGTTGGCATTTGAGTAGTTAGGCTGTGTTCTTAAAGTGTGATGAAACCATTCAAATATTGATAATTAATATACAAAAATCCCATCTCTCACCAGAGTGGTGGTGTGGCTGTACGTACTTTCTCCCTATTCTAGTTTCTTCTTGGTTTCTTTTTAGCAGCTAGGTGATACTTGAGGTTCCTGCACATGTGGCCTGTACAAATTAATTCTAATTCTCTAAGGTGAGGTTTCACAAGGAGTTAGGGGAGTTTGGAGCCCAGGCAATTCTGACCATTCCACCTCAAAGAGTAATTCCTCTGGGTAGTACTCAGCTGTTTCAAATCTGACAGCCACGCACTGCTCTGTTTCACTTTGTAGCTTCTCCTGAGTTGAGTCAAAGCCCTGTTACAGAGCAGTTCCTTTGGCACAGCATAACTCCCTGCAGCACAACGTGCACTCACAGAGCTTTTTAACTTACAGGCTGCTCTGACAAAGGAGTGCATGGCTCAGTACAGGAGGAACACTTGAATAAAACCTTCTCAGTGCAGTCTGAAGACACTACCTCCGCTAAACACCCAGGACACAGCAAAATAGGAAATTATCTTGTTCAGGACTGATTTAGATACCTGCAAGTGTCTAAAAGTGACTTTTTAGAAGATGACAGGCTTACAGCTTCCCTGCTTACAGCTGAGCTAATCCAGCTCATTCTTTTCATTCTTTTTTTTCTCATTCTTTTCATTCATTTTGCAAAATTTTATTGTGATTGGAACTCTTGAGAACAAGGTTTATCATCGTAATCTATATTTATGTACTCCTAGTATAGTTGGGTTTTGATCTAAGATAAACAGCCGTGAAGCTCCACTTCTGTGGAATTAGCTGGGTGTGTTTGAGTGTATGGTGATACTATTTTCCTTACTCTTACTGGCAACTGAAGTGATGTGCATGTTGTTGTTGTTTCCTACAAGGTCTGGTACGGTCCGGAGATCCAGCAGTACAAGTCCTCTTGGTTTTCCTAAAACTGGTGCTTCCCCTCCTTATCCTGGAGAGCATGGATCTGTGCCCAGCTCTAGAAAGCTCTCCTTCGGCGGTGCCAAGCCATTTATGCCATCACCGCAAGGTAAGATGTCAACTGGCATATTGCTGCTCTAATAAAATCATGTCTCTCTCCTGTAAAGAGGAGGTTTTGACCAGCTGTAACCTCTACGTAATAAGGAATTCAGATTGTTGTGTTCCCCCATGGCTCTTCTCAGTAGAATATTTGACAGGTGTTTTGGCTTCAGTAAAATGGAGAGGAAAATACCTATTAGCCTCAGGAGAGGTGAGCTGTGTTTTGGTGTGTGTGAAACATTTTGATTTCCTCTCCAGAGGGCTTCTGTAAGTGGAAAGTATTTTTATTTTTTTTTTACCAGTTTGGGTTGAATGTGAGAAAAATATGAGCCAGTTGCCTTCACAGCAGAATTCTGACTGGCTCTGGAAGGGCTTGAAACTTCACTGTGTCTACAGAAATGCAGCTGTCTGATTACCTGATAGCCTGATCCAGATGCTAATGAGCAAATCAAGCGGAAGAGGATAAGAAAAACCCTAGTGTGCAAATGATGCAATTTGCTGCTTCCTGTAAAGGGACAGACTGATGTAACTAGCTATTCTATATCCCTAGTGTCTCCCATCCTATATTTATTAGTCTCTGCTGACAGGGAAATGGAGAATATTTATATTCTATTCCTCTGAATTAATGTTTGTGCAAAGTCAGACTAAACCTGGCTAAATGAATACCAGCCAGAGCTCTTGTCCTCCTTTTACAGGAGTTGTTGATCTTTCCACTATACAGCCAGGGCTGAGAAGATTGGGAGAGATGACTACTACATTTCTATAAAATAGGAGGTGTGTAGTATTGTCGTTGCCTATGAAAACTTAATGCTGAATAAACATTGATTTTGTTCTCTTAAAGTTGGAACGATCCCAGAGCAGCCCAGCCAGACTGTTATCCCCTCTTCTGTTGGAGCAGAAGTGAGAAGCCGGATTACCATGGCTGGTGAGTTGATCCTTACTTTCCTTATTACTCCTATGGATAAGACTGGAGCTGTAGTCTCAGGGCATTCAGGGTTGGGTATGTAGCTCCTTGGATGTCTTTGCAGTGAATCCTGGGATCAGGCTGGCTTTTATTTTTAGAACCCGAGAATGATACGGTTTGTCACTGTGTTTGGGCTCTCCAGGTGCCTCAGCGCCCGAACACTCTCCTCGAGGGATGGGCTCCCGGCTCCACAGTGCTCCCAACCTGTCAGATTTGCATTCCTGCAGGCAGAAGATAACCAAGCAGCACTCTGATCCTCTAGTTGCTCACTTTGGCCATACCCCAGTCAGCCAGCCTCTGCAGATTCATGGCCTGCAGCACTGCCGGCAGCTCAGATCCTCACCAAAGCTGTCTGAGTTCATGCAGAGAAGCCCATTGCCAACTATCATGGGCTCCCCTACAAAGGTATGTCGAGGAGCCTGCCTTTGGGTTTCTCATGGCTTGATTTGCTGGGTTGTCTGGGGGTGAAGCACTGCATGCTCAGATATCTCTGACCTGGATTTATCACCACTTGCTTCCCTTTTCTTCAAGGGCTGTTTAGTGATCTGTGTGAAATGTGGCAGTGTCCTAGTTCTTAGTGGACAGATCTCACTTGGCAACAGCATTCACCATCTGAGCAGAGTCCGGGGCTTTAAACAGGCAATGAAAAGAAGCTGCCCAGATTAGGACAGAAGCACATTAGTGCGCTGTGGTGTCAGGGTTGATTTGTACATCACAGCCTGTGACACAAGCGTGCATCCAGAAGGAATCCCCAGCAGAGACTGCAGGCGGTTATGTGGGTGAAAGCCCCAGTGCCTGACGTGAAGCTGGCACTGCGACGGCATTTCTCTGTGCTTATGTTAGGCTACTACAAATTTTCAGCAGAGCTTGTTGTCCTTTCAGTTTAGTCTTTCTGGGATAGGGGACAGGTAGCTGTGTGGGCTGGAATTTCTCCCTCTTTTCCTCCTATTTCAGGCTTGTTTTTAAGTGTACAATTTAATTCTGATAAACAAATGAGGGGTGAGGGGAACCTTCATCCTTCATTTTGAAGACTGATCTCTGTTTTCTCTTTTTCCTAGGCTGTGTCCCCTTTTGAGTTTCCCAAAACTCCAAGTTCCCAGAACCTTCTCACCCTCTTGGCCCATCAGGGGGTCATGATGACTCCAACACGGAACAAGACCCTACCAGATCTGAAGGAGATCGGTCATTTCCACTGCCAGCAGACTGGCTTTGGATTGAGGCCTGTGGAAGAGATCAAGGGCAGGTGAGCTACGGTCTGCTTTACATCGTGGTGCTTCATTCCCTAACATGAGTGGAGAAAATTTCAAAGCCCAGCTACAACTTCAATTATAACGTGTCTGCGAGCATTCTGCCGTCATCTGCTAGCACCCTTGGGTTGCAGGCAGATGTTATGCAGATTTTTTAAAGTCTTTCTCTACAGAAGCAGGCTGTGGCCTAGATTTTATAAAATGAAAGATTGCCTACAGCTTCACACTGTTCAGTGCCCAAGGTTTCAGCAAGTGGGAAATCAAGGATCTGGTTATTAGACCAGACTCCCTGCAATTATTCAAATGTGTGCTTTGCTCTTTTTGGATCCTGTGCCTGTTGTGAGGGAGAGGTGTTCCTTGCCTATCAAACTGCAGGCACAGGTCTTCAAAGATCCGTTTGAAAGCCAGGTACTGACATGAATGTTGCAGGATACAAAGTTGTTCAGGTGTTAGTGTTAAACTTTTCTTATCTGCCTCTCTGCTGATAGCAACTTCCTCCAGTGATCTGGAAGAGTTCTGTAGTATTCATTTCTGTATCTTCCATCAAAGAAAAATTGTTTTACAGCAATTCTGTACTCAGTTCTTTCGTTACTGCAGTTAGTCTAAGTAGTCATAAGCTTTCTGCAAGTAGCAGGAGGTGCTTCAGATGTTCTGCTAAGAGAGGAATAGCGCCAGTGGTTATTTCAGTTTTGGGCTCTTTGCTTTGTAGTTGTTGTGGACCAGCAATGGCACAAGATGGAGTGAAACTTAGCTGAAACTTTGCACCTGCCCCAAACTTGCTTGGTGATTTTCTGCATCATCTTGTATGTTCTCTTTTTAGGTCTCTGAGCACAGGCAGGCTCACTGACCTGCTTCTCAAGGCAGCCTTTGGGGCGCAGATCTCCGAAGCCGGCAGCAATGACAGCCTGAACAATGAGAAGCCAATGGAAATTGCAGGTAGGTGGAAAGGCCAGGCAGATCTGGGGGGATGTCCTGGGCTGCGTTGGGTGGCGGAAGAGTTTGGCTGGGTGCCTCCCACGAAAGGGAGGATTCTTTTCTGATGGCTTTTGACTGCTGTGCATGAGGAGTGCAATGACGTTTGCTTGTTTTCTTCTGTGAGCGCTCGAAGGTCTGTGGGCTTACACGTGCTGTGTAATTGCTGGCTAGCGGTGTGATTTTGTAGGCAGGCAAGGCTTCCTCTCTTGGCCCCTTCTGAATGAGATTTGTGGAAGTGGGGACTTCCTGCCAGTCAGCTTGAATGTGAGTGGCTCTGCAGGGTGGGTCTTCCTGCGCGTGCAGGTTGGGAAGCGAGGAGGGGAGAAGAGCTGCAGCAGTGCGTAACACTGCCAGGCTCATGTCCTGCGGTCAGCACCGGCCTGGCCTGGTTGTGCCATCGCAGGATGCCTCTAAAGGGAGTGCTGCCCTGTGCTGGTAACCACGGTGAGAGTCTACAGGAACGTAAAACCGCCTGGTGAGGCACGCTGTGCTCAGAGTAACTTTCCTGTAATGCCAGTCTGCGCCTTTCAACTGTCTCCCCAGCTCCCTCAGGTGCTTACGGAGGGACCCTGCACTCTGGTGCCCGGGCTGGGGGCTCTGCCAGCCCATCCCCAGTGATTTTTACTGTCGGATCCCCTCCCAGTGGAACAACCCCCCCACAGACCACGAGGACCAGGATGTTTTCAGGTAAAGGGCTGATACCTGCCTGTTCCAGTGGGAATGTCTGGGGGCAGAGCAACGTGCTGTCGTCTTTGCTGCTGCGCACCGGTGGTGGCAGAGGGCTGTTCAAAGAGAGCTCAGCTGGTCTAAATGCCTTGGAGGTGCTGGCTCATGCCAACCCCAGTTATTGCTGGTAACTCTCCACACTGGCACAAGGACTCGTGCCTTCTAGGAGTTTCCAGGACTGGAAGAGTGAGGCAAACCGTCCTTTTACATCGTTTCTATCTGCTTCAGGAATAACACTGCAGCTGTTCATAGATCCACTGTTGCTGATAGGTCAACAAAGATAAAGAATGTTCTCTATTCTGATGGTTTTTCTCGTGGGCTGCAGATAAGCTGTAAAAGGCAAGCATGACCGTCCTTGCCCAACAATTTCAGTGCAGGAGTACCGTTACGAAAGGGCTCTATATGCTGAAGTACAAGCGGTGTTACTTACGCTGTGAATTGCTTAAGTAGGAAATGGGGAAGTGCACTCCTGGTGGACAGATCAGGCTTTTAAGATGCCAGCACTCTGGCCTCAGCAGCCAACAGTCGAGGCTGTGGTAATTGTGCCTATTGGGACAGTGTGTCTGGGAGCTGGAGCCTATGTTTAAGAAAACAAATGTTTAAGAAAACATTTGGACGCTTCTGTTTGCTTTTTTGGCTTGTTTGGGTTCTTGTCCTGACTGTTCCTCATCTGAACATAGTCAACTGTTCTTAATTACTGCAGGGAAGGTTTGGATGTAGCCATGAATAAGCCGCTTGACTGGGACTAGGGGAACACATGGCTCAGTTCCTGGGTATGGCTTGGATTTCCATCATAGCTAAACTCACTCAGATCCTTGATTGTCTGGAAAGTTGGGACCATAATCCTTCCTTTGTCTCATAAGCAGGCAGGGACTCTCATAGGGCAGGGACTCACACAAAGTGCCTGACTGCCCTGTAGCACAATGGGGATACTATCCTGGCTAGAGCCTCTGGCTACTGCTGAAATGCTGTGAATAGAGAATTCAGCCTTCCTGTATTGCTTTTGCAGGGATAATAACATTTGGGAAGCAGATCCAAGTGCTACTTTTTTAGTGGGTTGATGGTTGGATACTTGAGGGTCTGCTGAGTAGCAAAGAGTTCAGATGGAAGTGCCTGGTAGAGAAGGCTGTTGAATAGTGAGCCCACAACTCATGCACAGCACAGGGTAAAGGACCGCCAAAGCAATGCTGCTTGACAAGCTTTATTCTGTGTAGTAACTCCTTACGTTAGAGTTAATGCACAGAACGGTGAAAAGGGGAGCTTTGCAAGCTGGAACTCTACACCCCAAGTGCTTAGACAATCCGTGACTAAGATCACTTGACGGATACAAAGGCAGAGCCTTGTCAGGAGTTGTCATAACAATTTCTGCAAGCAGCGTCTCAGAATTACAGGGCATCCAGAATGTGGTATTGTTGGTCTTTGTCTGAAAGATCTGGAAATACTCTACCAGTTTTAATGATCCATTTAGCTTTGAAGCATGCCAACTGGGAGAGATCTTCAGGAGAGGAGGCTGTGCGTCTCTGTAGATTAGTTGTTCAAATGTGCATTATATTGCTAAACCTTTTGAAGTCAGGGTAGGCAGCAGATGAAATTCACGGGTAGAAGAGAACTATCTGCCTCCAGAGGATCGGTGATGGTGGAGAATTAGCAGAGTATCACAGCTGATATTAGCATCCCTCTGATAGATAGAATATACCCCTCTGCAGCAGTGTGTCAGGGGGTACGAGGCACTCTTGGAATGTCTTATTGATACCCTGAGACAGAAACTCCTTCTGAAGTGTGGATCTTTTAAATGCAATATACTCAGGGTGGATTCAGTGGCCAAGAAAGGGAAAAGATGATGATGAGGGAATTGTTTGGTGGGCACAGTGCTTACTCCTGAATCCTGAGGTTAGGTTCTTGACTTAGCTGCAGTCACTCTGTCCAGCCTCCTGTCTGTAAAGAGAGGAAGGCAGAAGCGCAGGGCATATAACAGAAAGTTTTCCCGGTTTACATGCAAGTGGCTGATGATGTAAAACCATGATAAAAACCTCACTTACCAGAAGTGCTTACTCGGTGATGGTGTTAAAACTAAGGCATCAAGGTTCAAGCCACGCTGATCCATGATAAGGAGGTTGCTTATGGTGGTGTATGATAAAATGCAGCCCAAGATACTGTGGCAGGATTCAGGAAGGGTTAGGGACAGGGAGGGGAGGTGCTTCAGGAATTGTTCCCAAAAAATGACAGGCAATCTGGAAGGTGCATTAAATTTGCTTGTGTTTGTAAGCTGTCTAGCTGAGTCACTGAGGAGCTTGCATGCGGAGTGGTTATTCTGCATCAAGAGTCCTTGTGTCTTTTCTGGAGTGCCTGTTGCTGGCTCTCATAAGAGCCTGGATCCTACAGTTACAGTTATGCCCTGTGCTGGTCAAGGAATACCTGGCCTAATATTAACATCTCAAGTAATTCCGTTGCCTGTTTTTCTTCCCAGTGGGGTCTTCCAGCTCTCTCAGTTCTGGAGGCTCATTCACCGGCAGGCACTTGGCAGTGGGAACTGGTGGGGATGCTGTGGAAGGCCCTTCGAGTCTCCGCTTCGCTTTTGCTGATCCAATCACTGCTAACCTGGAAAGTGCTGTTACATTCGAGGCTCCAGAGCTGCCTGAAGAGACCCTCATGGAGGTGGGTATATCCCCCCAGGGACTTGCTGGGGGCAAAAGACAGGGGAGAATAAAGGGAAAGCAAATTCAGAGGGCCAGTGTTTGGTTCATGCAGAGGCTCATGTTTGCGGTCAAGACCATCGCTTCCAAAGATAGTGTGAGCTGGCTGCAGGAGAGGTAGGCAACACAGTGCTCAGGAAGCCCAGGATGTATTGAGGAAAGTGTTTTTTGAGCCTGTTATCAAGTCATGTAGTCCTTGGGACTGCCCATGAATAGGATTAAAATTTACCATTTCAAAAGCTGCATTTGCACGTTGGAAACATCAGTTATCTGGTGTGTCCTGCATGAACAGTTTCTAAATAAAATGTGGTTACTTCAGGCCTTCTCCTTTTTAAAAGGCTCAGCATCAGAAGAGCTGACTTGAGAGAATGAGTAGCTTGGTGTATCAACTGACTGCCTGCTGCATGCACTTAGGGAGTCAGTCAGTGATACAGCCCCTGCCCAAAGAGTCTGAAATAAAAGTAAACCTGACACGTTTATTGATGGAGGGCAGGGGACATGATATGCTCTGCACCAGAACAGCTGAACCAGATTGTCAAGCTGTAAGGCTGCCAGACTGCCCCTCTGCGGGCTGAAGACCAGCTGAAGCAACACAAATGCTTTTGTAGCTGAGATATATTTGAAATGTAGGTCAGGCTGCCCATTTGCAGTAGAGGTAGGAGACAGAATCAGCGATGGATTCAGCTCCATTCGTGGTACGGCGTTGGGCTGCCCAGGACTGGGAAAGGCTCTTCATACCTGAATTTTTTTGGTGTTGCTAAAACCCCTTAGATACCTACAAAGATCTTCATACGTCGTTTTAAGGATGTGGATTTGCTTTTCTGCTTCAGATTTTATTTAGCTTTTTTTTCTTGTTGTTAATTATGCATTGAATCGCATCAATTTGCTGTATTACCTGCAGAGCCCCAGTGCTGGGATTGATTGATATGCATTGATGTATCGCAACAGCACTGAATTTAACTGAGCATCCTGTCTTTGACGTCCCAGAAGTATGGGGTCCTGCCAGCTGCTGTTGCTTTTCAGGGTCTGAAGAGAAGCATGCTAAAGAAGTTATCAGCTTGATCTTATTAAACCCATTCAGTTCAGGTTCGTGTCTGTAAGGAGTCATCTGAGTTTGCTCATAATTTCTGCTGAGCACAATAATTGATCCACATCACAAAACCTTTCTGGCACCAAACCTTTTTGGCATATTTGGAGACTCCTTTGTGCTCTGTGGGGTTGGCCAGAATACAAACCTGGCAGATCTTCTGATTTCTGATGCTGTCAGGGCATTGAAATCTTGCTATTTAAGCACCCCTTTTTATCCTGAGCAGAGCTGCTGTGTTCAGATAGGTGGTCGTTCTTCAATCTTTTGTAAAAGTTTCTTTAGGTGCAGACAAGGCAAACAGAATGCTAAATTTTAGTCTGTTTTGCAGTGCTTTGGAAACACAGTAGAGATGGCTATGGAAGGAAAGACTCTTGTGATGCCTAATAAGGCCAGAAACACAAGTGTAACAAATAAGGCCAACTGTATTTGCAGAGAGGAAGGGCTGTGCATTGGTGAGAGATACAAGGCTGAGACTTGCAAGATCTCAGCAGGTTCCTGCTTTGCCACAAACATCTTGTATGACTTGGCAGTTACTTAATCCCTGAGTTCCTCCTTTGCTTTTAAAGAAAACAGAGGAAGTCTGAGACTGCCTTACCTTACTGGACTCTCCAGGTAGCAAGATAGAGGAGAGATTAATATTTCAGATAGTCAAAGCTCCCTTAGCAGCTGAGTGCCTGAGCTGGTGAATGAAAAACAAAAGCATGCAGAACTTGAGCATGTGCTTTTTTATTTGTTTTCCCCTCCCATTCATGTAGAAAACATCCTTACCAAGCCCCTTTAAGAGAACTGATCCACTAAGCGTTTGAAGGTCAAGCAGGTTAGCTGCATTTCTGCAGAGGGTGCAAACAATGGAGTTGCATCTGATCCAGGCAGCGATTCGTTTTGTAGGACCCACAACTATGCAGTTTTTCCACAAATACTAACTTCCCCAAAATGCTTGCAATGATTTAAGCAACAGAGATTCCCAGAAACAGGATAACACCCTTTGGTCTGTAATAGCAGAGGAAAAACTGCTTTGAAATGAACACAGTGATCTGAGTGCGAGTCTCTCCCTTCACTAACTGGGCAGGGGCTGCAGCTGAAAGGCTGTCCTTGCTGTCCCTTAAGAGGACCTCACCCAGGGCTCCTGCACTGGGCTGGGACGCAGAGACCCAGCTACGTGAGGGCTGGGGTTGCAAGAGGCTGTCGGTCTCATGAAATCCACACTCCTCACTGTGTACCAGCACGGGTGTGGTGTGGACCAGGACTGGGCAGTTGTGCCCACGGTCTCGTCCCCTTCCTGGCTGACCTTTGAAACAGTCCCACCAGTCCCACGTTGCTGGGAACGCTCCTTAACAAGGGAGCGTGGCATTTTGGAGCAAGTCTCACCGGCTTTTCCAGGGACTGCTCTGGGAATTTCTGGCCTGGGGCTGTCGCTGCCTTTAATGTGGAGGAGGAACTGGTGGGGTGTGTGGGCTCAGCGCTGAGTTGGGCTGTCCCTGCCCAAAGAAGAGGTGTGGGGGGATTTCAGGCCCAGGTGTTATTTCTGTAAGCTGGGATGAGCCACTGGCACAGCTCCATGTAAGCAGCCTCCCTGCATGCCAGTTTTCCCTCTGTAACCCCACCTTGCCGTTTCTTTCCACAGCAAGAGCACACCGACATCCTGCGCAGCCTCCGCTTCACGCTGGCCTTTGTCCACTACGTGATGGAGATCGCTGCCCTGAAAGGCAACTCCAGCGAGATGAGCGCTTCGGCGGCGTCTGAATACCAGCTGCAGGAGAGCGTGGTGGCTGACCAGATCAGCCTTCTCAGCCGGGAGTGGAGGTAAGGACCGGGCAGAGAGCCCCCAGGTCACTCCTTGACACCCCAGCGTGTGGCTCTGTGCCCTCAGGGACACGTAGTGCTGCTCCACTGGTGTGTTTGTGTTACAACGTGCTTTCTTTGCAGCTATGCAGAGCAGCTGGTGCTGTACCTGAAAGTCGCAGAGCTGCTGTCGTCGGGCCTGCAGACAGCCATAGAGCAGATCAAAGCTGGCAAGCTGTGCCTGTCCTCCACTGTCAAGCAAGGTAAGGGGCTGTTGGCACACGGTACAAAGGCCTGGGATGGAAGAATGGGAAATGTTACAAGGCAGGGAGGATGTTGAGTGAGCGTGATCCCCCAGCTGTGAGTGCACGGGCTTAGTCCTCATTGTGCCCTTGCATGGCCAGGCCTTCCTTTTGGGATTTTGTTCATTCCTGCTGAGAGGAATCTTCCTCTCTCCGTGCTTACCTCAGGTTCAAACTCCTTCCTGCTCATGCCCCTGTGAGAATCTTTGTTGCTAATTAGTGAGAGGGGAATGCATCTTATCTGATTCCTTGTACCTCTCTATCTCAGGTGTTTATTTGTACTCAACGCAAATCCAACTTAATTACACAGTGCCTGGCCTAGTAAGTGCTTACTTGGCAAATTGAGACATGTCTTGGCAATGACGGTTTTCAACTGAAACAAAAACACAGGAAGTAAAACCCTGGTAATGCAGGAGTCACTGATTTGCTAGTCTCACAGCCTTACATTTGCATCTGACTGGCTGGCTTCTGATGTGAGCTGGCTGTGATTCAGTGATTAGAAAAAATAATTTTAACACTACAATGGCATTATTACTGAGGCAGCTTTTTGAAACACTTGAAGTACTTGACCCCTCAGCCTCCTTCCCCATGGGTTTAGTCTGTGGAAGTACCCGTGCTGACTTGGGGTGGGGCTGCAAAAAGTAGGAGCTTGGCACAGTGAGCGCACACGTGTTCTGGGGGGCAATATGGAGTCAAATGTATGGATTTAGCTACACATCTTCCACATGCGCCCTGTGGCTAACATAACCCAAATAAATTCTTCCTTTTCCAGGCCAATTGCAACTTGTAGATTCATAGCATGACTCTTCCTTCAGTGTGTGGGAATTGGATAAGGCTGTCTTTTCTTATTTCCCTCCCCACAAAGTACTGCTCCCTTGAGATTTTCTAGGGCACAGTGAGGACAAGAGGGTTGTCAAGGCAGTTGTGTAACTTCTTCACATGTGTATGGAAAAAAAGGTGGAAGTGCGACAAGACACTGCCCCGGAGTGTCCTTGGGCAGTGCGTGTCAAGCAGGGTCTTCACCTTGCAACCGTGAGCTTTTTCCTGGTAATTTGGACCCAGCCCAGAGCTCTGACTGAATTCCCTGGAGGAGGATATTGCTTTATTTGCATATGTTTTTTTGTTGTTGTTGGGTTTTGGTTGGTTGGTTTGGTGTGTTTGTTTGTTTTTAAATAGTCTTGGCTCTCTTCTCCTGTGGAGGTTTTCATTTTGCCCTTCTGATGTCACCCACGAGCTTTGGGGTTCCAACTCGCTTTCAGATTTCTTCTGAACCAGGGTAATGTGATAGTCTGACCCCAACAGGGTTAAGGTTTTGTGCCTTAGTCCTTTAGAGTTTCAACTGCCTTTGTTCATGGAGCCAGTCTCTTTTCTGGCTTTCTGCTCTCTTATCTCTACGTAGGAAGGCTATATTTAGTCACAGGGCCTGGCTGGCAGTGAAGTTGCCTCTCTGCACAGTACCCAAGATAGGTTTGTTCGTGGTATGGGTTCATTTCCCTCCCCCAGAAGCAAGTTGTGCAGTGGGGTGGGATTTCAAACGTGCACGTACTGGTTAATACTCATCAGCTGCTTTGTGCTAGGTACACTGTGTAGGTCATGCCAGACAGCTAGTGAGACTCAAGCTCATGGCTTCGCTTGCTGTTTTGGGTTATTTAATCTCTTAGATCATATTTAACTCCTGGTTCTCTGTCACAACCTTCCTGTCCTAGCTGCCACAGTGCAGGAAAGGAGGTGACCTTTCATTCTGGGACAGCATTGTCCCAGGAGAGAGATTCTTTTGCTCAGGACTGCTCAGCCACACTGAGCTCCAACAGCTACCACATACAAGTCACGTACTTCACAGCACGTCATCACCCGTCAAGTAACAGAAGCTTTGTATCTGGCCTGTCTGCTGCTTCTGGTGATGCGTGAGACATCTTGCACCACGCAAACTGCTCTGTAGCTTGTGGCAACTGAAGGAAGCAAAAATAGGCCTTGCCTCAGGTGAAATAGATATGTAGGTGTTGCAACATGCAGGCTTGTAACTGGTGAAGCTGACAAAGGAAAGGAAAAAGACCCTGTATCGGTGCAGCAAGTACTTACATTTGGCCTTAATATGACCTGATTGTCCTGAAGTTACTCATTTGGGGTCCTGTGCACAGAGATTGGGAGGCACAGGGAGAACTAGGAGAATGTCCAATGCGTTTCTTTCCTTTATTCTAGTTGTGAAGAAGCTGAATGAACTTTATAAATCCAGTGTATCGTCCTGCCACTGCCTCAACATGAGACTGCAGAGATTCTTCTTAGACAAACAGAAACTCATGGATCGGATCAACAGCATCACAGCAGAGAAGCTCATCTTCAGCTACGCCGTGCAAATGGTAATGACCATGCAGTGCCTGGGAACAGGGCTGGCACAGAGCAGGCGTTAAGCACTGGCAGTTCCTGCTGGTGGCCTTAGCAGGTGGTTTCATTCATGAAGCTGTGTGCAGTCTTTGGGGGTTGGATGATGGAGGTGTTCGCACAGCTGAGGGGCCGTGTTGGGAAAGCTGGGTTTGGTCTGGGAGTAACCTTCTGTATGGGGGTGTTGCCTGCAGGTGCAGTCTGCAGCCCTGGATGAGATGTTCCACCACAGAGAGGACTGCGCACAGAGGTACCACAAGGCTCTGCTGCTGATGGAAGGGCTCCTGAACATCATCACTGAACAGGGTGACATAGAAAACATCAATAAATGTGAGTGTTCGGTGGCTTTTTTTCCCCTCATTAGGTCATGCCGTGTTTTTATAGCTGCATGGATCAGAACGTTCAGTATCCATCATCTGCCTTTCCTTTGGCTACCTCTTGGTGGACATAGCACAGATCTCTCGACGTGTTACAGCTCCTAGCAGCCCGGCCTCCTATTTTCCCAGGGAGAAAATGTTAGAAATGCAGGTCCCTGTTCTGAGCTGTATTTTGAGAGCTGCAATGCAGAGCAATTGCCAGGGCTTTGTTGGAGTTTTTGATGTGTGAAAGAACTTGCTGAAGGAAGTGACTTGGCAGTAGCAAAGACACGGGTTTGGTTTCCAGCCGGAACCATCCGATTGCACAGAGCACTTGGGAACATGAAACTGCAGCGGCTGTCAGGCAGAGGTGGCTGATCAGCACAGCACGGGCTCCTTCCAGCCCTTCTAACACGGGGCAGACTGCTCACCTGTCTGCGTTCCCCAGGACAGGCCAAGAAGGCAGCAAACAAGTATTTTGCTCATTAGGAAGTGACTGCAGTAGCAGTGAAAGCTGAGCTTTTACCTGCTTGCTGTCATTTGGCTTCCCTTCCCAGAGACAGATGGATCCCTCTGTTGGCTGCTCTTTGCTGTCACCTCTCTTGTACCCTCCCTTTGCTGTGTGTCTGAGGGGGGGTTGCACTCCACTGCTGCAGGCTCCGCAACTAATGCATGCAGCCTGGAAACAACTGACCTCACTTGCTCAGAGTTGAACTTTCCCTGCCCTTCTGGCTGGGGTTTAATCACCTTTGTTATTCCTCTCTACGGGAGGGAGGCAGAGGGGATGGGGGACAGCCTTGGTCCGTTACAGCATCTTGACTTGGCCTCAGCCCTGCTCCATCACACAGCTAAACCAGCCCATCCGTGCCAGTGCCATGAGGGGAGCAGATGCAGCTGGCAAACCTGCCTCTCCCCCTCTGCTGGTTACTGAGTGCATTTCTTGGGCCAGCATCCAAAGTGCTGCCAGACTGCTCTACTCGTCCGTGTGGACAGAACTCTTGGATAGGTAATGAGAGAAGAGCTTTCTGGCTCCCAGGCAATCAGTCAGTTAATTATCACTAACTTTAACAGCTGACATGAGGCTCGCTGAAGGAGAGCAAAAGGAGATTGGCAGGTGGTGTGTGGTACTGGAGGGCTAAGTGAATAGGGAATACCAAGTAGTTCCTATTGTGCTGTTTCTTAACAAACCTAAATTACATCTTTTGTCCAGAGGTACAGTTAATGCATCTAATGGATTTCTTTTCCCAGCCGATATCCTGGTATTCCCTGTTTTACCCAATGTTACAGCTTCCTGATTGAGTTGTTCTCTGATAGGCTGCAGCATGTGCACATTGCATTTTAGATCTTAGGTACTTGATTACTTTTTTTTTTTTTCAGAAAAGTAAAGTGATGAATGTAGAAATACAGCAAATGTTTAGCTTTTGAGAGGATCTCGGGCTCAGACAGTGAGGATCTGGCCCTGACTGTGCTGGGCTGTGCCTGCTCCGTCTCTCAGTTGTAAGCCATGAAAAATGGCTTAGGAGACCGTGAGTTATCTTCACTGCTGACAAAAGCCTCTCCAATAAATAAAAATGAATAAATTGTTTCCAGCGGATGGTGGTCCTTTAGAACATGGTGATAACTGTGTTAGAACTGCTGCCTCACTGCTTTCAGTCCTGGATCTCTGATCATTCAGCTCTTTGGTCTGTTGCTTCCCAGCACAATCGTTGTGGCTGGGTCCTCACCTAGTCTAAGTCAGTACGTGATAGTGATTCCAGAAGGGTTGCTTAGGCGTGCTGAAATTCTCTTGTTGTGTTTTTGTTTGTTTGTTTTTCAAATCTCCAGCATGTTTTGGTGGTCCTTATATTGCCAGGAAATTGAGAAGCTGATTTGTTGTGTTATTTTTTTCTCTCCCAGGTAAACTCTGCATCGAGCGCAGGCTGTCAGCCCTGCTGTCGGGGTTCTGCGCCTGATTTCAGTTGTGTTCTTCTCCACACACCTCATCCCAGCTGATCACTTTTGTTTCTGACAGCCTGCTGCTGTGGCAGGAATCAATTTTGGCAGTAGGATACCTGGAGGATGAACTGCTCAATGTTCTGTATTTTGCTGTTTTGGGAAGTTGTTCCACAGACTTAAGTTCTTCTGTGGGGAGGTGTGACTGCAGCAAGCACAAATACTTCCCTGCCCAGAGGTTGGGCGAAGACGTAGCTGATGTGGAAAGGTTTCCCTCCTTGGCAGCAGGGATGAAGGATAGAAGTCTGCTTCTTCCCAGCACTTTGAAGGATAAAGACTGCTGCCTGTCCTCTTGCTTCAGAACAGGGTATTCCGTGCTGTCTCCATTGCAGGCAATGGATGTGCTGAAACTGCTGGCTTCAGTTCATGCTGGAGGATGTCATTCAGAAATCAAGGCCAGTTTGTGTACTTTCCCCTACCCCAGCTGATAGCCAGGCACCTTCGAGCTTCCTGGCAACCCGAGGCTCCCTGCCTTTTTCTCCTTTGTCCTTTCTCATACTCATTTCTGCCTTGGAGTGCTTGCTGAATGGCCGAGAGGAGGGAATCTGCTCTACTTTGCCTGAGCCTTGCTGAAGTTGCTGCCACCTTCTACAGACTCACTGAGCAAGGCTGAGAGCGTGCTGCTGCTGGGGAAGTCTGCACCTCCCGTGGCTGTCACGCGGACTGCCTCTGTTTGCAGACGGGCACATGGCACGGGGAAGGAGCCTCTGCCTGGAGAACAGGAAGATGACGGAAAACGCAATGTTCCTGTATGTCTAAGCCAAAACGAATCCGTTCCTCTCTTGGTCCCTGTGCTCCCTGGGATCAGCATTAAAGACTCCTGGCTGTTCGGTTCAGCCTGTCAGTACATATCTACCACGAGGAAGCACTAGCGCTGTCCTGCTTTCAGCTGTTGGCTAGATCAGCCCTTTCCCGTATCCCTCACCCTCCCCTGAAACTGAAAACACTAGCTTTGTGAATCAAAGGAGCACTTTACACACTATGGGAACTTTGAGAAGTTGACTTTGCATCACACAACAACCCAGGAACATCACGACTGTTAGGAATGCTGTTCTTTTTATTCCTTCCCTTGTTTCCTGGTTGTTTTATTGCACTACGTGTGTGCATATATTAATATGTATTCCTAAGGGTGAATATATATTGATATATCTGGTTTGTGTGTAACTGTACGTATTTAACTGTACTGTATCTTGTGAGTGTGAGGCAAAAAGCACTGCGGAGTCTGTGCTCTTCCTCCTCCACACCAGGCAAAGCTGACTTGCAGTCTGGCAGTACCAAGATAGTTTTCTTTTCTTCTTTTTTTTTATTTAAATGTTCTTTAAAGGACAGTCAATATACAGCTCCATGCTTTTTAAGAGCTCAAGAACAGGCGTTAAGATCCTACACACTTACAATTGGAAATGCATTTTTAAAAAAAAGTTTTATTTGCTGCTTACATTTTTTATAAAGAAATCTTGTAGTGTTCGGTTTTATGTTCAGCATTTCTTTTAAGGAGACTCTGTAGCCAAATGAGACTGCGGGTGCGAGTGGCTCGAGTTCTGGTTGAGGCTTCGGATGCTGTGAGCATGTGCGTGAGAGGATAGCTGGCTGCCTTTCTGTCTGTCTGCGTGCGCAAGTGTGTGTCTTAATTTATCAGAGTCATGGCAGTATTTCGTTAGTGCTGGGCAGAAAAGTATCTTTGAAAGCAACTTGAAACCTCAGGCTTTGTTTTTGGGGATTTAATAATAATTTGCACATGGTGGTTAAATCCTCACTGCTTTTTCTCTCAATATTGGCACGTTCAGTGTGATACTTTACAAGGGTTTCAGGAGCAACTTAGTTGGCTTGAGCTGGCATCGTCTTTGGCAACATGGATACTTCTGATAGCAGAGCAGAAATGCCAATAAGGAAATTAAAAAAAAATTTTGATTCCCCCTACTAGGGAAGTTTTAAGCGTAGCTTACACAAATGCTTCAGTATTGGGCCTCTGTTACATCGTACATTCACAGCCTGCTGCTTCTGTGGCTGTTTATGCTTGTGCCTGGAGGAAAAAAAGAAAATAACAGCAAAGAAACAACCCCCCAGCCTGTGGCAAGAAATGCTGAAGAGACCCAGACTGCTTCTGAAAGGATTTTACCAGTTCTGCAAAGGGTATGCCGCAGGTGAGTGCACTGGGATGCAGCACAAAAGCACTGAGCCAGGACTGACTCTGCAATACAGACACCTGCTACTGCCCTGAACCCTCCCGGCAATCCCACGAGCGTACGCTGAAAGCTTCCTGCCCAGGAGAAGCGCAGCCCAGGACCCACGTTTGTGCCGCAGGTTTAACGATCCTTGTACGTGGCAAGCTCAGCACTAACCTTCCAGCTGTACTTAATTACTTGAATGTATCAAAATTGTCCACATTCAATGTACACAAGTATATATTGCTCCAAAATATTGTGGTTTACAGACCTACAACCAATATATATATGTATGTGTTTGTATATATACATACAAGTATGTGTGTGTATGTGTGTGTATGTATATATATGCACACAAACACAAACGTGTATATATGTTTTCTCTCGATACTTGAAACTTAGCCACTGTGCTTGAATTAAAAAAAATAAAATAAAAAGAAAACAAAAAAAAAAAGAAAAAGGAGAAAGAAAAAAAATCAGGTGATTTATTTTGCCATCACTTTGGTGACTTTATTTTTTATCTAATTGCATGTAGCGTGAAACCAATTTTTTGGTGAAAAATATTTATTGCTTTGTAGACAATAAGGAATGCAAAATAAAAAAAAAAAAAGGCAACAAAAAAAGAAAACAATACACAAAAAATCCCCAACCATTGTTGAAGTTGCTAGCATAGTCCACTTGCTATTGTCATGGCTTTGTTACTGTTGCAGCGTTTGTGTGTAGCGTCTTAATAGATTTCAAGAAACCTCAGTCTAATAACATGTATCTTCAGGTTTGTGAGAGCGTATGATGATGTTCTTTATAAGGTAATGCTTGATACTTTGTCAACATTTTTTATTTGTGTTTTGTGTGACTTTTTTTTGGCTTTAAATTGTACAACACCAATTTAAGAAATAAAAAATGTTTTGAAATTGTTAGTGGCCTGATTTCAGTACTTACATAATGCAGTTAGCGCAGGATCTGAGGATTGTATTTCATGTGTTTGGTTCTACCAGCCGTGACTTTGAGGTGAAGAAGTGCTGTTACCTTCTTTTCAAAGAGGGTGAAGCTTGGGACAAAAAAGCTATGTTGCCTAAAGCTACAGACAGCCTTTGAAGTTAAGAAAAATGAACCCCATTTCTTGTCTGGGGCTGTAATCACTGGTACATCTGTCCTTATCTGGCTGTGTTCTCTTGCTGCTGCTGATAGAAGCTACATGTATAAGGAGCTGATGGCAGACCCCTTCCCATCCGATTAGGCTGATGCATGAAGCTTCGTCCATGTTTCAAGATTTGCAAGATCAACCCGCTGCAGCTCTTTATCTCTGTGCAGTCCAGCACTGCTGAAGGGCTGTCTGAGGCATGGGAAGTGGTTGGGTAATGGTAGCAAGGAACACCATAAAGAAGCTTGAGGAGACTTCAGATGTGCTTTCAAGGCAGGGGTTGGACTGTGTGGCTCCCTGGGCAGTAGGGAGCAGCCAGAGCAGTGCAGGCATCTTCTCTGAATGTGCAGCTGTGGGCTGAGAGAAGGATGCCCTGTGAGCAGCATGGAGCCTTATGTGAAACCTGCGTGTAGGAGGCACTGCACTGAGTGCTCAATTCATCCTTATCCCTGACAGGTAGACATGAGCAGCCCTTCAGCACCACAGTCAGGTTGCTGTCAACCTTGATCCTGGCTTTTGGTGCAGGGCTGGTAGTTGTAGTGTCTTCTCTGAAGCAGAATATTTAGGATGAAAAGCAAAGCTCTGCATCTGGGATGTGAATTATTCCAGTCCTTCCACTTTGACAGAAACTAAGCAACAGAGGTGTGATCTCTCAGGAGCCTCATACTGTAATGCCATCGAACATTTCCCAAAACTCAGCTTGCTGTGCCACGCGTGTTATTGTTGGCCGTGAGCATCCCTGGGGAGAGTCGTGCCTGCCAGCCTGTCTGACTCGGCATCACCCCATGCGGTCACTGGGCTGTATTGTATTTCTGTAAGAAAAGTTCCTATTTCAAAATCTTAGTTTACCCTGAGCTGGAACTGTTTTTATTTCTTCCTCAGCCCTATTTATATCTTCTGTTTCCTGTCCCTGCCTTTCCCACCTGAGGGAACGGGGTAGCACACGGTCCTTCCGTGAGAACGGTCCTGCCGGGGAGGCCGTGCCCGGGTGCGCTGCCACTAACACTGCCTCGCTCGTGGGGACAGCTGCGTGTCGTGGGGCACAGCGTGCTACAACCCCGTGCTACAACCTGGGCAGGACCTCGGGAAGCTGCTCACAACGGAATAAACACAACTGCTGATGGTGTGTAGCGTTTGGAGCTTGGCACGCTGGGATTTTTGTGTTGCTTTTAACGTGAACAGCACCCTTTGGGGGAGGACATCGTACATCATGTTTGTTCCCTGTGGCATGGGGCTGGGCTAAAGAACACATAAATAAATGTGTTTCAGATGCTGAGCTAAAGGGTTGGGTTTGGAGCTGTCTGTGAGGAAGTTTAAGGGTTCATGTGGAAAACCTACAGCCAGATGAAAGGCGGGCAGTGTGTGCCACATGCCACATGTGGAGAGAAAACACCCAGCTGGATCCACAGGGCTCTTTCATGGGCAGCAACAAAGGAGGCTAGAGCTGGCTGGAAGGCTGAACAGAAATAAAGTCTCTTCTAAAAGCTCCAAACCACCAGGCCTGAGCAGCTTAAAATCACCAGTAAAAATTGCACAACTTTCAAGATGTTTATGGTGACGTTGCACTGCTGTTGATTCTAGGAGAAAACCAAACCCAAGCGATTCTTCCAGTGTGTTTGGCTTTGTTCCCATGTTTTATATTTAGTTGCTGCAAGTACGTCAGCAAAAACCTGCTCATTCAGCTCCCAGAGATCAGACGTAGCCTGGTGACATCAAGGAAGTACAAACAGGGTGGGTGTGCTTCACACCGAGGCGATAAAAAGATCAAGTACCCCACTTTTTGTTACCAAGCCCTGTCCTTTAAAAACTATTCCATGGGAGGAGTTAACTCATTCAGCTGGAGTTAATGCCCTGCTGACAAATCCCCGCAGGAGGATTTTAAAGGCCTCTCGACACCCTTAATCTGTGCCCATAAATGCAGCGCTGAGGATAGGTGCCATTCCCTGGCTGAGCAACTGCACGTAGGGCAGGGATACAAATGTCCCTGGCACGTTTCTGTTCTAAAAACAGCATTTTTAGGGACAATGGAGTCAAACCACTCCTCCTGGGAGCTGAAATCTGGCAGGATGCTCTCAGAAAATGCATTAAATAATACAGTTCTTAGAATAAGCTTAAGAAAATAAAGTCAAATGTGGGCTTCTTTCCTTACTGTGGACAGAGGTGGCCGAAGTTGCCAAATGGCTTTCTGACGTGAACCCCCGCTAGCACCCAAGTGCTGTCAGAGCTCCCCCGGTGCTGGTCCCAGCACCCACGGCCTTACACCGGTTCCACCCCGATGTCTGTGTGGGCAGCACAGGCCCGGAGCTCTGCTGCCAGCAGTCAGGGTGCTGCTGCCGGGCCTGTTCTGCACCCCCAGCACCCTGCGGGCCTACAGCACGTGGGGGTCCCACCTTCAGCTTCTCAGCGCCTGGTGCGCCTGTTAATGTTGGCAGCAGGATCAGTAACGCGCTCTGGTGGAGAACTGCAGGCCTGCTGGGACTCCTGCTGCAGGTAGTCACAACGCCACCGCGGATGAATTGTTGCCACGCTTCTCCCAGTTCAGGGCTCGTTTCAGGCAGTCACGTCGCTTCCAAGCCAGAAGGGGCCTGTGGTAGAGTGAGGGGGTCTGGTGGAGGAAGCACAAATGCGGGGTTGCACCCCAGAGGTTTCACTCTCCCGGCGGTGGGCAGCCTTTGTGCTCTGGCCCACACCGTTACTGGGCAGGGGGGGATTTGGGCACCCCACAGGCAAGGCACGGGGGCTTTGCCAGAGATGGCACTACAGGACCGCTCTGTCGGGGCGGGCATTGCACGGACTATGCTGGGCCAGGGGTTGGGTATTGGAGCTGCAGTGGTAGTTTGTGGGGGTGTTAATGTTGCTCTTCTTGTAAAGATGATATCGGGGTGATTCATCAGAGCAGGGCACGAGGGTATTAAATCACCTGTTAGAGCTAGAGCTCAGCCACCAGTTCTGCAGCAGCAGGTGTGCTTGTCCTGAAACTTCAAGGATGGCCCATTCCTGGAGCTACAGGCTGCAGTCCCCAGGGTCACTTGTATATCTGGAAACGTTTTATGAGGATGATTTCACTGCTGAGTAAACTTGATGGAAGCACTCTCACTTAAGGCCAAGCGTACTTTAATTTCACCAGTCCTATTAAACATGTATGACATGTTCTGCTCCTCACACACACAGCAGGGAGTTTCATGAATTGTTTGTGCCTATTCCAATTTAACCCTGGGTACGGCTGCAAGAGGAAGGAAACCCCTGATAATTTAATTCTTGAAGATTAGGCAAATTCCTGAAGACGCTGGGTAAGTGTGATGCAAATTAAATCCAAGCAAGTGCACTGGCTTTGCAGACCTCACGCAGTGATCTGCAATTGGACCTTCTGCACTACACCAGCAACTGCAGCCTTGGCTCTGCTGCCTTTTCACTCAAGATGTACATCCCCGAGGTACTGGCTTCACAGTGCAGATTCCCACAGAAGTGATGTACAGTGGCAGCTCTGGCAAGTCACTTAATTTCTCCTTGCCTTTGTTATCTACTGTTTGGAAATAAAATAAAATAATAAAATAAAATAAAATAAAATAAAATAAAATAAAATAAAATAAAATAAAATAAAATAAAATAAAATAAAATAAAAACCAATGAAAACAGGACAATAATCCTTCATTTGGAGGATTTAGAGTGCAAACTCCTTGCAAGAAGCATGCTCCTTTGATAGGTGCTGCAGCATGGTCCCAACCTCATTCTGGGACCTCTGATGTTGCTGGCAGCTCATCAGTTCTGCTCTGCTACAAAACCTGAAGGCTAAACGAATCATTCAGAAAATCCAAGTCAGTCATTCTCTGTGGTGCCGTAGGGAGCACTTTACTGGTGGGCTGTAAGAAGCTGGCTAATTGCACAGAGCAAGCTCCTCCTCTTTGATTCCTGTTGTCACCTGGACTCCTGTCATTACGTTTAACTGAGTAAAATGACGACATCCCCAGTGCTGCTTACCGCTCGTGGCAGTGCTCCTCATGACCCAAGGCCAGCTGCAGCTGCAGGGCTGTGACATGCTCAGGGATAGGGCAGGGGTTTATGGCAGGGTAGGCAGATCACAGAGGTGATTCCCATCTGCCTGGGAATGGAGGGGACTGAGCAAGACTGACTGAAGGGACTGCGCAAGAAGACGACATTAACCACTCATAATATTTTCTGACAATGGGGTTCACACTACGAACCAAGTCATTTTATAAACAGTGAAGCAGTGAGGCACGTGTGTGTCCTACAACTCCACACTGGGACCAACAACTTTCTCCAGCTCCTTTCCACCTGCCTAATTTTTATCTTGGGAAAGAGTCAGTGTGTGCTCTGGCAGGCTCAGAGCAAGGTTTGTGCTGTTTTGAAGCCCCTTTGTTGCCCTTAGAATGGATAAGGAGCTGGGATAGCAAAGCTTTTTCCATCATGGGGCCATCCATGTAAGTTTTTCTCCTGTCATACCATTGTTTTATCCTATCTGCTGAGGCCTTCTTCCCTCTCTCGAAATGGGCCAAATTCAGCAATCACAGCAGGAAGGGAGGAGGAAGAGACGGTGTTGTACAGACAGGCAGTGTGACTGCACATGCTTCACTTCCTAAGGAGGCAAGGCAAAAAGGGATTCAGATGCCCCGGTCTAAGCAATACAGACATTTATATTCCTGTTTCCATTGGCAGCAGTGCTGCTATTTGACAGGCTATCTTTTATCACTTCTCTAAACAAAGTGCAGCTGGGAACATGTGATAAATCTTCCCTTGCCCCGTCCCGCTACTGAA